CGCTTGCCGGTTCGCATCTACTCTTGTATAGTTGCCCGGGTAGTGGGCACACCTTTTGGGTAGTCGACGAAGGTTGGGGTTGAAGCAGGGTGGAGACTTGAGCGAGTTTGAGCGAACTCAAGTCTTACGTAATCGAGTCGCCCGACTCTACTCACACTCGTCTAAGAACCTTGGCGAGCGTGCCTGTACCGTGGTTGCGCCAACCAAATAAAGTTCCAACTTTCCTTCCTGCTTATGTATAAACAGAGATTTCGTGGTGGTGAAGATGGTGAAGAGGATGATAATCTATATTACACTACTTATCTACATAGCCTCCGTAGACGCCTGATGATAGATAATCCTCTCGAGCTCCATATCACTGATAATACCTTGATTAAACCAATTCTGTAGGCAAATCAGTCTGTTCAACGTTTTTCCCTCCATCCGTGGCCTTTCGGTATCAAGAAGTCTCCCACAAGCTGACCAAATCCGCTCCATATCAGCGGCGGAGGAAGGAGTCGCGAAGAGGTCCAGAGCGATCTGGTATAGAGCGGGAAACCGCGTGCGATTAGCTACCCACCACGTAATAGGCGTATCAGTCTCCTCAGGGGCCTCTCGGAGATAGTAGGAGACCTCATCGGGCGTGGAGATATTACGTGGTTCAAAACGAGGCGCGAGGGCTGCCTGGAAGGCCTTGTAGACCCTTTGGCGATCACTAGGGATGGTCTCCTGCGAGGCCTCCTGTGCATTCTCTGCACCCGAATCATTATCCTGTATCTTGGATACATTCTCGCGGAGTTTGCGTAGGAGCTCGGCAGTCTTGTGGCTACTAGCTTCGGAGTCGTCCAACCACGCCTTCTTGTATTTTGGGTGGAGGAGAAGGGCGAGTCTGTACGCAGGAATATCCTCCATCTTAGACCGGTATTCCTTCGCCTTAACCAGGGCCGCTTGTATGGCCCTTACGAGCTCCTGGAGCTCCTGATTCTGTGAAAGATCCGCGAGGAAACCCTCCAGGGCCCGGATAATCATAAGAAGCGATGGATACGCCTCCCAAAGAGCCCCTTTAGCACCATGGTCCGCATTCCCTTCCAGGATCCAGGTCGCATGCTTCATCGGTTCGTACAACTCGATAAGTTTCTCAAGGATACGCCAATCGTCGACGGTAAGGCCCTGAAGGTGCTGATACCGCTCGCAGTACTGATCAATAGCGACACGCAGCTTGATGGCTCGCTGGACCGAATCGTACCGCGAGTTCCACCGTGTGGCGTTCTCACGTACGATTCTAAGGGGCCGATCGGTCTTAATGGACTTTTCGTTGCCCGTCATATCCTCAATAATATCAGTCTGTATCGTAAAGAACTCTTTCTCCTGTTTAGGACTCTTTTTGATATGACCAATGATAGCTTTAAGCTTGGTAATGGGCTCTATGTCGGTATTGGTAGGAAACCCAGAATCCAAATCCGTGTAGCCTTCAGCCCGCCTAGGTCGTATAGTATCAAGCCCATTGTCATTGCTGGCTTCGATATTAGACGAATGGTCCCTGGAAAGCTGTTGGCAAACTAAATTCACGATGTGGGTACTACAGCGTAAACGCCTTCCCGATAAAGTGAGATTTAGGAGCTTCCCAAGCTCTTTAACCGCGGTAGAGTTGTTTTCCGCGTTATCAGACATTAGGAACGCAATCCTTGCCTGTATCTCAAACGTTTGGATAGCCTTGGTAAGGAGCTGTGCGATATTGTCGCCGGTATGAGCACCTTCGATCTCCTCTAGCCGTAAGAGGATATTTTGTTGACGCGGTATTCCTTCCCCGGAGATGAAATGCGCCTCGATCCCAAGGAAAGGAAGGTCGTTCGTAGAGGTCCAGATGTCATAAGACAGTGAAACATTGCTAAGACTCCGCGAGATCTTATGAGAAACGAGACGACGACATTCCTTGTATGCGAGATCAATTTTCTTGCGCACAGACTTATGGTTGCGTACTCCCATCTCAATCTCTCCACCACTTAAAGACTCCATCAGCGCGTTGAAGCTGTTTGACGAAGCCTGACGAAAAGGCACTCCATCAACCACTAGCCATTTCAAATAGGCTGTGTGGGCGTTGAGGAGGGTCCTCTGACGGTATCCTGTAAAATCCTCCCACGATTCTGGATGTCCTGGAGGGATAACCTTCGATCCATGCCTGAGAAAACCGTGATCGTTTATGAGATGTCGACGGGCATTGGAAGTAGCTGATATCGAATACATCTTGATATCGTTGATCGATTTCGCTTGAAACCAGCATTTACGACAGACCCAGTACGGTATCTCTTCCTCTGTATCGCCCATTTTCCGTACTGTAAACCCCCAGTACCATATGGAGCTTGTCCGGTGTTTCTTCCGCATTGCTTGACGCGTTGGAGGAACGTCAACCGCATATAGACCGTATTTGTCGAGCTGAGGTCGCAGGGGGACAAACTCTAGCAGTCGGTCTGTTTCCGTGGTATATGGGGTCTCAGACGACGAGGTCGAGGAGTACGAGTCTGTATACGATGCCATATTGATGTTTTCCATGATCGGAATCTCGTTTTCTTGAAATCTCACGGACTTTTGGTGAAACCGGACCAAGACACAGACTTGAATTTCGGTTTTGAGCTACTGTACATTTGTAACATGAGCAATGAACATCGAATTTCGACATGAAGCCGTCATTGCTATGTAATTCATATGGTTTTATAGCCATAACGAGCAAATCTGGGGTCCAAGTCCAGCAAGATTGGTAGACTAGTATGGAAGAGGATTAGCGGGAGACTCGCTACGAATCTTGAGCGAGCATCGAGCGAGTCCTTGGCGAGCGAGTGCAAATGAAGCGAGTGGCTCGACTCAAGTCTCCAGCCTGGGTTGAAGTGGGACAAATCACGTGAAACTCACGTGAATGTCATGTGATTTAAGTGCATAGTATTTCGATCCTCGCGGGGCACTCAGACCTTACGGAACTTCGTTCCTCCAGGCACTCTCACTGTTATGGTCCCGGGCCTGTGGCCTGGGCCCTTAAGTATGGCTGACGCCACAGGGATGTGGCTAGTGGATGGCATGGAGGATTATCAAGGATAGTCATATATGGGAGCTATGTGTTAGGACGGAGCTGTGTTAAGGAGCTGTGTTAAGGAGCTGTGTTAAGGAGCTGTGTTAAGGAGCTGTGTTAAGGAGCTGTGTTAAGGAGCTGTGTTAAGGAGCTGTGTTGAGCTGTGTTAGGATAGCAGAGAGAAGAGTTTATATCTCGCGCACAGAGGCGCTGGGATATTTTTTCCTTCTCTCTCTTCAGTTTAGATTAATGGAACTTGGTAATCGCAGACCTTGCGCATCCAGATTCCAGACCTTGTCACTCACTCTCATTTGTATAGTTTCTTAATAAGACACGTTTCGATCCAATAAAAGGAGTTGCCGCACGTGATGTGCTAAAATGGTTGGGAGTGAGGTGCTGTTGTTCCAGCAGCGAAGTTGTTGTATTGTGTAAGTTGTGTGTTCTAGCTGAATGCCTGGTCCCCCGGCCCTACAGATATACGAGAGTCACGGCAAGATTATTAATGCAGTTTGTAGCCTTGGACTCCTAGAGCTCATGCCTTGGCCTGCGACACTCAGCGACAGGAGTCCATAATAATCACGTGACTCAGACGCCTCCGTCCTAGCGCCGCTTAGCCACCTGATTGACTCGTGTAGTTATACGAGGATGACCCCCATCGATTCAGCGCTCAATAATAATGTCAGGAAGCAAGTCACATCTATGATTTATCACGTTTGATAGAAGTTCCTCTCCTGAACGTCTGACGGGACGTTAGACGTCCGGTCCGTCGATGTGGCGGTGTCGTAATAAATGGGCGCGAGATTTCCTGGTGGCTCAGCCTACAATATTCGGCAGAGATGACAGCCGGGGTAACATTCGGTTGTCCCTGCCCACAACCCCCCACGCATCCTGGTCACTACGAACCCCTGCGCCTGTCTCCAGCATTCATCCCGGGACGACGTGAGCCTCATTCATCTAGCTGCAACAGGAACGGACGGCGAACACAGATTTGCGCCCAGCATACATAACGTCTACCGGTCCACGGTATAAGCCTTCTAGAGCTTTCCAATGTAGGGCTTGACCCGAACCTGTCGATCATCATTCCTCCGAAGTCTATACAAAGTCGTCTTAACCGAGCCCTAGTCACCGCAGCGTTGGGAATTGGGACGCCCTCCGGTTATCCCATCGTCGCTGTACCGGTGTCCTTGTCATCTTATCATGCGTCACCGTTGCTTAGAACAGTGCAGAAGTATTCTCCGAGAATCTCATGCTTGCCCCTCGGGCGTCAGTGTTGTTTTGAATCATGCAGCAGTCTTCTCTTGAGTCATACATGTAGTACCTCCCTCCTTAGTCCTTTCATGGCTCCCACTGTCTACACCTACCTATAGTGTTCATCATATGGTCAGAGAGTGAGGTGGGTACGTACATCTGCATGGAAGGCAGAAGAAAACGTCCATTCGGCTCGGTTACCGAGGCTGATGCTTAGCTTCCAAGAGATATATGGGGAGCCTTCCTGGATATGGAGCTACAGTATATAGCGGTACGGCTCCGCGGCCGGGTGATCCCAGCGTGACGGTTTCTAGGCTATGGTACGAAGAGGTTGACGGTGTGAAATGAAAGTGGTCCCAAAGGACCCTTCGGGAATATTAGAGGTCGCAATTAAAAGCTCCACAGACCACAGACCACAGACCAGACACTGCGTACCTATTTCGGCGTCCAGAATCCGCCCTTGGGCATAAGTCCGCAAGAACAGGTCGATGAAGCTGATTGAAGCTGCACGAAGGTCGCTTATTTTATCTCAGCGAAAGGATAAGGTTCAATCGACGTTTATAAAACGAAAGAGCCAGGCACTAATCGGTGAGGTGTTTGTCGATCAGCATCCTTCCAGAACTCCTTCCTTCAACATGGCTTTCAAGGATACCTTCACTCATGTCGCTGTGAGCTTCTTGTTCGCGATAGGTGCTGTTTCATGCCAATCACCAACTGTTACCATCTCGTCCGGTCCTGTTATTGGAACACAGACGAGCGTGCCCAACTTCGCTGGAACCGTGAACAAGTTTCTCGGGATCCCGTTTGCTGCGCCGCCTCAACGGTTCAGCCCTCCTCAAAACCCGGCATCATGGACATCGCCATTAAGTGCAACGGCGTTGAAGCCGGCATGTATTCAGCAGTTCAACTGTAAGTATTCTTACCGAAGCTCATGACACTATGGCTGACTAGGTTGGCAGATCCCGAAGATACCCGGAACTTCACAATCAAGGTCTTCAGCACCCCTATGCCTGAGGAGAGCGAGGACTGTTTGTATGTCAACGTCTATGCTCCATCTACAGCGGCTCCACGAGGTGGCAGGCCGGTTATGTTCTGGATCTATGGCGGGAACTTGCAGTTTGGCACCGGCTCATTGCCTATCTATGATGGCTCCAACTTGGCTGCAGTCCAGGATGTGATTGTTGTCACGCATAACTACAGGACAAATGGTGAGTTTAATCCCGTCCAATCCCGTAGCGTTCGCTTACACAAATCTAGTATTCGGCTTCCCCAATGCGCCGGGAATCCCTCCGACTGAGCAGAATCTCGCTTTCCTCGACCAACGGAAGGCTCTCGACTGGACCTACAAGAACATTGCCAAGTTCGGAGGCGATCCCACCAAGATTACCATCTTCGGCGAGTCTGCAGGCGGGTATTCCGTCAAACAACTCTACGTGAACCCTCCCAACCCGCTTCCATTCCGCGCTGCCATCATGCAAAGCCAGGCTGCATCGTTCGCTGCTGGTTCTTCCGGCTGGGACGGTCTTGCAAGCGCACTCAATTGCACTGGGACTGCAGCCCTGGAATGTGTGCGTGCCGCTCCCGCATCCAAGGTCAAGGACATCGTCGAGCGACAAGCCCTGTCTTTCGGACCTGTCGTTGACAACGTCACCGCATCCAACACTGTGGCCGCGGAACTCAAAGCCGGGGACACGGCCAAGGTTCCCATCCTGATCGGCACCAACGCGCAAGAAGGATCCGCCTTCGCCATCTCCCTCGGCCTGAACTTCCCCGGCGCCTTCGAAGCATTCCTCACCACGATCCCCATCCCGGAAATCCAAGAGGCGCTGCGCACTTTCTATGCCCCCTTGGACACCGATATCCTCAAGGTCGGCCAAGCCATCACCGACCTCACCTTCCATTGCCCCGCCTCCCAGGTCGCCTCCATCCCCGCCAGCATCAACACCCCGGTCTGGCGCTACTTCTTCAACTCGACCTTCGCCAACGACACGCCATTCGAGGGCAGCGGTGCATACCACTCGTCCGAGATCCCCTACATCTTCGGCACCTATAAGCGGGACGGCTCCGTGCCGCAGCAGGAACTCCTCAGCTTGCTCATGCAGACCTCCTGGGCCTCGTTCGCGAAGAACCCAACTCTCGGACCGGGCAGTGGGTGGCCGAAGCTTACCCCCTCCGGAAATGGAACGCAGGTCTGGCACTTTGGCAGCCGCGAGCCGGCGTACATTCCCGCGTCGACGTTGGATGCCGTCTGCCCGATTTTGGCGCCGATCATCGCGCTTTCGGGCATCTAAAGAGTTAAAATATGTGTCACGATGGCGATGGGTATCTAGTCAGGGTTGCATTTTGGCGAAAAGTTGGGGGAGTTATTTCCTTGGATGGAATGGCTAGTCAGGGCATGGATACGAGGTCACTTTCTTAATATTACTATCTGTATAAAAACACGATCAATACAATGCGACATGTAGATGTCAGGAAACTCACCCTGATGTTTGATATCCGAGTGATGCAGTTGTGTAACTAGATCTCGTCTTCTGGACCGTTGGTCTTCACTCTTCAGGTCTGTTGTGATGGGAACTATCCATGGATATTGGGTGTGTGACAGGGATTATGGATATTCGAAGGGCGCAATCGCGTCACGACTTCGACGCGTCAAAATCGATCGCCCGCGTAAAGTGTCTTCCTTGTGTGAACCATCAACAAAGCCAATGGTATCCAGACGTGTTGCATCTGAATAATTTATCCTGGTGGGAGTTGAGCTTTTGATAATTATACCTCCGGTGGCGGAATTCTGCTCTGTATACCATCATACGAGAGATCCACAGTGATCCGAAATCCCTACACTCACTCGCCTTCAAGATGGCTGCGGACGAGAGCACCAACCGGCGTATTGAGCCGGTGTCACAGTCCATGCAATCTGAAGAGGAGAACCTACGAACTGCCCACGAACAAGAAGATGCGAAACGAGACGAGGAACTCAAGAAGGAACGGCAACAGGATCTCAGCGGTGGCAAAGGGGCCGTGGATAAGAAGTTCAAGGCACTGGAGTATTTGCTTAGCCAGAGCAAGGTACACAGGCGCTCTCACTGCGAGTTATTCCCTATTGGTGAAGTTGCTGATGAATCCTAGCTTTATTCCTCAATTATCCTCCAACAGATCCAACGTCAAGAAGATGAAGACGTGGCGCGAGACTCCAAAGACCGCAAACGAGCCCAGAAGCGCGAAGATGTCGCTGAGAAAGTCGCAGAAGATTCGCAGCGGCGGGCAACGAGAGCATCGGCGGCAGGAACTACAAAGGATACAGCTCAGCCTGAGTCGCCATCCAAGAAACTGGCCGTTCGAGGGCGCGGAAAGCCTGCAAAGAAAGAGCCGGGAAAGGGGAAGATATCCAGCTATTTCAAGAAGGAGGACGTCGAAGCGAAAGCCGGAACGGGTGATATCACCGAATCGTTGAAGGAAGCGGTGGACGATAATATTCAAACAAGCGATGTTGGCGTGCAGAATCTCCGAAGAGCGCACCAACCAGACTTGGTCAGCGGTGGAACGATGCGGTCATATCAACTAGAAGGGCTGGAATGGCTAGCATCGCTCTACGAGAACGGACTGAATGGGATATTGGCAGATGAGATGGGATTGGGGAAGACGATTCAGACGATTGCATTCCTTGCGTTTTTGTGGGAGCGCCAGAGCTACGGACCGTTTCTAATCGCCGCACCGCTGAGCACGACGAGCAATTGGGTATCGGAGTTCAAGAAGTGGACCCCGGACATCCCGGTAGTGCTGTATCATGGAAGCAAACAGGAACGGGAGGAGATACGGAGGAAGAAGCTGAAGAATCCGGGGACGGATAAGTTCCCCGTGGTCATCACGACCTACGAGATCTGCATGAACGACAGCAAATACTTGTCGAAGTTCGGATGGAAGTTCATCATCATCGACGAAGGGCATCGGATCAAGAATATCAACTGCCGACTCATCCGCGAACTGCAGTCGTACGCTTCGGCGAACAGGCTGCTCATCACTGGAACTCCGCTGCAGAACAACCTCCGCGAACTATGGTCCCTGCTCAACTTCCTGATGCCGCAGATCTTTAATAAGCTCGAAGCCTTCGAGAGCTGGTTCGATTTCTCGGCGCTAAAAGACAAAGATGACTACGATCAGATCTTCACGGCGGAACGGGAGCAAAAGCTGATCGCTTCCTTACATGCCATCCTAAAGCCATTCCTGCTGCGAAGAGTCAAAGCCGACGTCGAAAGCATGATGCCGAAGAAACGGGAGTACGTGCTCTACGCTCCATTGAGTCCCATGCAGCGAGAACTGTACCAGGCGATTCTTGATGGTACCAGCCGGACGTATCTTGAAGACAAAGTCATCGAGACGCTTAGCAGCGGTGCCTCGACACCTCGACGAGTGGGCAGCAGTTCCAGCCTAAAGCGCAAAGGTCACGATGGCCGAGCAGACACTCCTCTAAAAAGCGCCAAGTCCAGTCGCGAATCGACGCCTGGATCGACTATGCTCGGTCGCACCCGGGGTAGGAAAAAAGATTACCAAGAAGTCAGTGACTCTAAATATTTCAAGCGACTCGAAAATACGCACGGGTCTTCAGAGAGTCCCGACATTTCTGAGCCTGTATCCGACGAGGAAGCAGACCGCATACAGGCAGAGACCTTCGCACTGGCAAAGAAACAGGTCGCACAAAAGAAACTGCAAAACCCGATCATGCAACTCCGACTCTGCTGTGACTCCCCCTACAATTTCTTCAACCCTTTCGACATCCACGCACAGGCTTCCAACGCCGCCGAGGTGACCGTCGATGAATCCCTAGTCACGTCCTCCGGCAAGATGTTGCTCCTCGACTCCCTCCTCCCCCCATTATTCCAACGCGGTCACAAAGTCCTCATCTTCTCGCAATTCAAAACCCAACTCGACCTCCTCGAACTCTATGCCACCGCTCTCCGTGACTGGAATATTTGCCGCATCGACGGCTCCGTTCCGCAGGTCGAGCGCCAAGCGCAGATCGACGCCTTCAACCAGCCCCCCACTGGCAAGACAGCGAAAAACGCGAGCAATTTGTTCTTACTGAGTACCAGGGCGGGCGGACAGGGCATCAACCTCGCTGCGGCCGACACCGTGATCCTGTTCGATAGCGACTGGAACCCACAACAGGACCTGCAGGCGCAAGATCGGGCGCACCGGATCGGGCAGACGCGCAACGTGATCGTCTACCGGTTCGCGACGCGGGGGACGGTCGAGCAGCTGATCCTCGACCAGGCGGAAGGAAAACGGCGGTTGGAGAAGTTGGTGATCCGGAAGGGGGGGTTGACGAGGACGGATAATAAAGACAGGGAGGCAAGAGACGAGATTCAGGAGTTGCAGCGGTTGTTAAGGCGGACGGATGGGGAGAGGTATGATGTGGAGGAGATGGGGAAGGGGGGTTTGTTGGGGGATGAAGAGTTACGGATCTTGTTGGATCGGACGGGAGAGGCGTACGAGCGGGCGGAGAGGGGTTTAGATCTGGAGGGGGAGATGTTTACGGTGGTGGAGAAGAAGGGGGATGGGGCGTTGTTGGAGGGGTTGAAGGCGTGATTTTGAAGTTGGGGATCGTTAGAAGTGGGGCGCGGTCGCGAAGTCAAGGGTGGAATGCAAGAATCTGTAGTTGGTACAAACTATCGCAGATCACCATAGTTCAGGTGTGAAATTGTATCTGATTTCGCTAGCTTACGCCCTGCCAAACCCAAACCACCCCCGCTTCGCCGGCTTCGGCTCCTCTGCCTCCGTCTCTTCCTCCCCAGCCTCCTCCACAGGCGCGGCAGCAGCCGCAACCTCTTCACCCTGACCCGGATAATGTATATAATTCCACGCCAAATCCAGATACAGCGGCTTGACCGGCACCGGACTCAGCTTTGGCGGGTACTCCACCATCTGGTTTACATCCGGCCCACCAGGTGGATAGGCAGCAAGCCGCTCGATCACCGGGGGCGCGGCGGTGCGGGCCTTGTTGGCTTCGGCGGCTTCGGTTTCAAGACGGTCTTGGATGTCGGCGAGGCTGTGGAAGCGGAGGACGAGGGATTGGAGGTGGGACTGGAGGGATGTGGATTGCTGAGACGTGAAGGATAGCTTAGGAACGTCGGATTCGGAGAGCGAGGATGAGACGGTCGAGGATGCGTTGGTTGAGAGGTCTTTGGCTTGGGAGAGGAGGGCGAGGGCGTTGGTTGTTGCGGATTGCAAGGAATGCGCATATGCTATGTTCAGGCACCTATGGCTGGTTATTTTATGTTCATTCGAAATTGATCGAGTGGGGACTTACTTCAGGGCGCGGAAGTACGCCAGCTGCCCTTCCAACTCCTTCAGAAATGTCTGGTCTCGCGCAGCACCCCTCAGCTCCTTGACCGAATCGATGCTCTGCAAGATGCCATTGTACAGCACTACTCGCTCTCGGAATCTTGCCAGTGCTCTTCCAGTCCCTTCAGGCTTTTCGACCCATTCCTTACCGTCTTTCCTTGGTCGTCGTGGTCGCCTGGCTTTCTCCCCTTCCATTTTCAATCCATCATCTAAACCGATAAGCATGCGGTTTCGGCCAACCCGCCATCCAATGAGATCATAGTTGATCGCTAGGCTCGTCACACGGAGATCCTGCATTCTGGTATCGCCCTCATCGACACCTTCTTTCTCCAGCTCTTCGATCGCATGGCGGACCGTGTCAGCGGCATCTTGATTTGCGATGAGAATGTCATCGTACGCGGCTCCGCGCTCCTTGTTCGACGACTGCATCAGATCGGCCAATGCGGACTTCAGCTTCGCCGCTTCGCTTTGAACAGTCGCCAATGCTTGCCCAATTGAAGCGTCGGTGATATTCGCTTCCCTGCCACGCCAAGATATGTTGGTGGGGAAATTCTCCGTCGACGTCCTCCCGGCCAACTCCCTGGGATCCTTCAGCGCATCGGAGTCCAGCTTCTCAATCAGGCCGAGCAGCTGCTCGTTGTCCGCTGGGAAATACCGCCTTGCTACCGCAGCCACGGCAGTTTTTCGGGTCCCATGCGCACGGTACGACGCGTATTCCAGACTTGGGTCGATCGTATTCGCAATCAACTCCTTGAACTGCTCATTCTTCGTCGACTTGAACAGTGCATTGTAGATGACTCGTGCAGCGGAGAAGTGGGTGAGGCAGGTTTGCCATCGCTCCCTCGAGCCTTGGGCATCGCGATCTCTGCTGCCTTGGGATTGTTTTTCGAACTCTTCTTCGCCCTTCAACATCAGCACACATGCTTCGGCTTCGAGGACATCTTCATCGGTGGATTTCGTGGCTCCACGGTCATGCAATAGCAGAGTTAGGTTGTTCGCACACTTGGCCGCCTTGTTCAATCGAGAAATTATGTGGCTTCGAGCGGAGCCAGTCGGTCCTTTTCCTGAGTTGTCGGTTGCCTTTTGGGCCTTCAATTGCATGGCATGCGCTCTAGCACGCTCCGCGGTGAGGAGTAGCAGAGTAACGAATCTGGCATATTGTCAGCAAATATTAAATGGATATACGATCCTTCGCATCATACTCCTTATTCCCACCAATGTCTTCTGCGGTGATATCGGGTCGCTGGACATATTTTGTATTTTTCGAAGACGTGGTCCATCCCACTCGCTTTCTGACCGAGCGTAGCTGACGAGACAGTTGCGCATGATAAGTGCCATAGTCCCCGGTGAGCAAGGCACTCTCACGGTTGGAGAGAATAGAATGAGTGATATCCATCCTGTGTATCCCAACCTCGCCGAATTCCTGATGCTATGCGATTTGATATTGAATATGTAGTGATGAAGTGACGTTGAACGGAAGCTGTGAGTGAGCCGGTTAAAAGTGGGCCCAGTGGCAGGGGTCCTCCATCGTCAAAGTTCGACTGCAACTTCGACCTTTCGCTGTCTCGTCTCTAGTAAAAGAATCTCACTGCGACCATTTCCTTCCTACCAACCACTTGCTCGATACCGTAATGCTATGCCATCCTCAAAACTTCTTATAGACAGCCTGTGGCGCTGCCTTTGCCCTTCCTTCGAAGTCTCCAGCCTCCACCACCTCTCCAAGATCACTCCGAGACGCGCTCCCCATTTCAATGCGCTTCCCTCCATATCATCATTGCCTTATCTACGATACAAAAGTAATCTGACCGGTACTCTGAACTTCAACCCGAAGTCGTATGCGACCTATAGCTATGACCAGCTCCGCTTACCACACGACGATGATTTCTGGACGACTCTACCCACGAAGTCTACGGACCAGCTTTACGAAGACCTCCTATCTCAAGCATCCCGGGGATATATCGAAGACACGGAGCGACTCGTTAAATACCTGATCAGCGAGCGGGCACAGCAGCCGAACCTGCGATTGTACCGCGCCTTGGTTCTGGCCAACATAAACCCCCCACATGGCTCCGCGGAGTCGGTGATATCCATTCTTCAGGAACTCGCAGACGAAGGTCTCGAACCGGATGCGGCACTGTGCCACAGTGTGATCAAAGTCCTCGCGGTGCATCCAGACTTCATTCTTCGAAACGAGGTTCTGGAATACGTCAGTCAACGATGGTACAATTTGCCTTCATCGTATCATTACGATGTGGTGTCAGGCTTGATACGGGAGGGACAGTTCGAAATGGCCATCAAAAAGCTGGAGGACATGTGGGTCAGGGCAATCCCATTTCCCAACTGGTTACGAGGTATGCTTATCCACAGTCTCTGCAATGTGGAGGAGATCGAAGAAGCTTTTCGTCAAGTCAAGCTTGCGGAAGAGCAAGCGCCCAATGCGCTTACGGGACCGATCTGGTATCATTTCTTAGATGCAGCGAGCAGCATTCACCATTACGATGCCACCCTTCATGCATGGAAGAGGAGGATCAGCACATGGTATCTCAATCCGCCGACAGGAATCTGCTTGAACGTCCTTGAGACTGCTTCAAGAGCAGGAGACGTCAAGCTCGCTTTGGACGTTTTCCGCGTGCTCGGGAACAGGAAGCATGTCTTCACCGTGGACCAATACGATGCTCTCATCGACACCCATATCAAAGAGAAAAACCTCCCTGGGGCGTTTTCCATCATGTGTACCATGGCGAGCGCCGGTGTATCTCCGGATAGGGGGAGCACCCGGTCCACATTTACATATATGAAGGAGAGCAAGACGAACTGGAATACCACCATGGGTATGCTTCAATATCTAAAACGGCAGGGAAAAGACATCCCAGTTGAGGCTGTCAACGTGGTCTTAGAGACTATGGCCTCCAGTGCTCAAATGCTAGGACCCGCCATGGACATCTACAACAACCTTCACGAGCTCTGCAAATTTGGAGCGAACATCACCACCTTCTCACACCTCTTCCGGTGTTGTCGAACATCTATCAACGCGGACCGAAAGGATACGGCCATGTACCTCGCCTCAGAGATGATTGCGCTCAAGGTCACCCCGAATGCCACTGTTTTCGATGATATCATTGGCACCTGCACGAGGACGGGCGACCTAGATTACGCAATCCAATATTATGCGGAAATGAGGGATGCCAACTTCAAACCGACCGAAGCGACCCTCAACCAGCTAACCGTCGCCTTGGCGAAAAACAAGGACCGACGCTGCTATCAGCTCCTGGACGACTTGAAGGCGGATGGTGCAATCATATCCCGATATCTCCGAGAGATCATAGTGATCAACATGCGAGAACCCATGGGAACCGTACCGATCGAAGCGCCGCAGCTCGCGGCGGCGTAGAATCGCTGCGTACCTGGAATTTGTGTATTTCAAGAGCGATGTGTAAATGGTTGTACATTAGCGAATCGACATATACCATACAATGTGGTCACGCGTTCTTCCGTGAAGGCCCAACCAAAAACCGATATTCAAAACATGTCTGCTATGTGAAACGCTGCAACGAACAAACAAAGCACTCGACCCCATCACCACATCCTCTGTCTCCCCAGCTCCGGCATCGGCCTCTCTCCCTGATTCCGCCCCGGTACCTCCGCCTCCAACTCCACCGCCCGATCCTCCGTCCGTGACTGCATTCCGGGCCCAACATGCAAACAATCCGGCAATGGACTCTGCTGCGGACTCGGCCACCCCGCGCTGTTCACCTCCCCAATCCCCAGCCCCGACACATACGGCGAGCACGACGAGTACTGGCTCATATGCGGCGTCGCCGCCGGCCTCGACTCCGTTTCATCCCCCTCCGAACCTACCATTGTCCCGGTGAGCTGGCCGTTTGAGAAGCGGGGTGTCTGTGATGTGGAGGACACAATGAGGGCGGGGGGCGGAGACGTATAGGATTCGGAGGTGGTGGTGGACATGTGTTTCAGTGGCATGGAGGGGATGACGTCGTTATCGCGCTGGTTGGGGATAGTGTGAGCGGTGTGGGCTCTGCTGTAGGCGTAGGCGCGTTTTCGGTTTCGTCGGATGAAGTAGATGATGGCGCAGACTACGAGGAGGAGGAATGAGACGGCCCCGACGACCGAACCGGCGATGATGCGGAGTTTGGAGCCGTTGGCTTTGCCGTTGGCTGGGTTGCTGGCCTTCGTCGCGGACGGATCGCTAGCTTTCGTCACGGACGGACCCGCGACGGGCACGATCGAGACGCCCGCCGGCAAGAACGCCGCCGCCTGCGCCGCATTCTGCGATAATTGCCCCGCGCGCAAATCTTTCTTCGGACATCCTTTGGCCTTGCACGGGTCGCTCACGCAGCATCCTACGAAGGGCGGGTGCGTCCCGGTGCAGGTATACCATTGGCCCACCTGGCAGAACTGGTCGCCCAGTTTGTCGTGCTCTTCCGCGGGGAAACTCGCGGGTTCGAGGGCGCCGTCGGGGCAGCCTTTCGCGCATGGATCGGTTCGACAGCAGCCGACAAAGTGGGAGCTATCTTTCTCGTAGCAGACGTGCCAGGAGGAGCCTTGAACGGGGCAGGAGAAGTCGACTGTGCGGGGGGAGAATTGAAAGTACATTGTGAGTATTAAAATAGGGAAGCATTAAAATAGTGAAGCATGAGAGATATGAACGAGCAGTGGAATAGAATGGCGATAGTATGGCATCAAACATTAAGACGTGAACGAAAAGGAAAAATGGACGACATTCCCGTGGGAGACAGAGATGAGGCTGGGTTTGTCAAATTTCCACGCCGCATTCCCATCTATACAGTAAATACGAGCAGCAGAGAGGACTGAGCACCGGGGATTGGCATCGTTCCCAACGAGCAGCCTCTACGGAGGTATGCGATGCCAAACTGACACCGAGCTGCAACCCAACGCCGAGCCTGCGGATACCGATCAATAATAGATATGGAGCCTTATAGGATCAATATCTGACGTTAGGTGGGATTGGTGATTCTGTGCCATTGTCCCCTTGGGATTAGTGGGTTTTAACCAGTCTGAGAATTCGAGAAGCCTAGACATGGGCTTCAACCAAACTGTATTCAATTTCCCCTCGTTTGGTTGGGCCGCGATGTTCTCTTGTAACTGATTAATCGTAACAAGTAGCCCATGTCGCTAGTTATCGATTCTCACGTAAGATAAGTCCGGCAAGGGACCGCCGGCCTGAATTCCAGTGGCACATTATTGATTCCTTCCGTCTGCGCACGCACGCACTGTGCCACGCGGGTATGCAAGCAGCAACTTTGAGCCTCGTTGGGAGGTTAATTTAACCATTGTGTTGCGCGAGATGCAGGTGTGAATGGGTGATGATGCGGTGGCGTGGCCGGAGGCGGCAGGGTAGGCGGCTGTGTGAAACAGCGCGGCACAGCAAGGCCGGTTGGGGAATCGATGGGGGATTTTGACGCGGCTGGAAACAGGGATGGGACGGGATGGTTTAGTGCGGAGAGACTGAGGAGTTGGCGTTAATTTGAAATTTTGGGTTTGGGGTATGGATATCATGGTCTTCTCGATTGTTATGGGTGGGAGACGTCAGACATGTCGACATTTATCGCCGCACCTCTAATTCCTGCAAATGAGGCTGGGCCGGCGTTCCCTGAGCTCGGGCCTTCATCCTCTTCATCACTATTCGGCGCCTGTCCATACCGACTCAAAAATTCCGGCCAATCCGTCTCTTCATCCAACTCCTCCACGCCATCCGCCAACCTATCCCCCTCCTTCCACCCCCTCCAACCCCCCAGCGCAAACAAGTGCCTCATCGTCGGCCGTCCATGGGGACAATTCCACGGCTTGTCAATCTCCCCCATATGCCGCACGACCATCCTCATCTTCGGCATCGTCAGCTCATCCCCGACCATAATCGACCCACGGCATGCCCGCATCGCGAACATCCTCCGCACTTTGCTCGGGCGCGGGACGTCGGACCCGACGGCTTGTTCGTCGACCAACGCGATCAGCTCTTCGAGGTCGCGGATGTCGAATTTCGTGTCGCGGCTCATGGGCAGGCTGAGCAGGCTGCAGCGTTGGCCGACGGGGTGTGCGCCAGAAGTGTCGATGTCGAGGGTAAAGCCATTCTTTTGGAAGGGGGCCGGGCGGTTGAGGATGGTTTCTTCTTCGATGGCCGTGAGTTCGAGGCGGCGAGGCTGAACGAGGCGTTGGTTTTGGACGATGGTTTCGGCTTGGAGGCGCTCGAAGTTGAATTTTTCATCCGAGGCATGCTGATCGATGATGAACAGCTCGTCCCCGTCTTGACTCTGTGACTTTTCATTCGTTGCATGGTCTGGCCTGGTCGCGAGGATGAAGCCTTTGTTGAACTGGCCGACTACTCGCATCCGGGTAAAATCCGCCTTCGAGACAGTTAGAGATAGACGCTCCTCTGCCTTTCGGTCCTCCACATCCAGGAGTGATCCAGCCTCGGAGGTTCCGTCACTCTCAATAAGCGAGACGTCTGAGATATCCCTCAGTCGACGCTCAATTGCAGAGAGATTGACTTTCACCGACTTCTGTAAGTGGAATGTCGAGGTTTTGGTGGGTCTAGGCGTCAGGGCTTTGGCCGTCCGCTTCAAATTCTCATCTGTTGGTCTCGAAGAATGCTTTTCGGCTTCTGCAATTAGCCGCGCGACGCGTGCGTCTTCTTTTGCTTGGTGCTTTCTGGCAGCCTCGCCTTCATCGATGTATTCATCATCGGATTCTCCGCGCAATGGCTCGTCTGCGGGTAGTTCGCTTTCACTGGCTTCACCTATATTGGGGCCGTCCCTAGGGACGCGGCTCTCTTCAGCCAAGTTTCCTTGCGATTCTTCCAGAGCTTCCTCATTCTCATTGACGGTATCACGATCTGGAGAATCCGCGACACGTTCCAAATCCGATTCAGCTGGTTCTGACGAGACTGCAGGGCTGCCCGCTTGACTCTCTTCATCTTCGCTTTCATCCATCTGGCTTGCTATAGGATGGTAGGTGTCTTCCCCGGCCGACCGGATCGCAGCAAACAGTGCAAGTCCGGACTTGAATTCCCGAGCTGACTTCTTTGATACAGTAGGACGCTCAGTCGACTTCGCCTTTGCAATTTTTCCTTGCTTATGCGGTGTTGATCCAATTGGCACTTGGGTAGTCTCATCACCAATCGTGACAGTGGCAATGTCGGGCGAGCGTCTCTTGAACCGCATACGATCGAAAGCACTCTGCACAACCCCAGGTTGAGAACGTCGAGGAGTTGTGGTGGTGGATGGAATCTCCTCCTGTTCTGAATCGTGGGGTGAAGCTGGTGGCTCCTCCGCTCCTTCAGGAATGAACAGAGGACTTCCGTGGGCCGCAGGTTCACGTTCCTGGCCCTCCGTATCCGAAAGATCGACTTGCGCTGAATGGCCGTCATCTGTAGGAGATTGAGCCGCGAATGCCTTAGATACCTTTCTCTTTTTGTTTGAAACATGAGGTACAGCAAGAGATTTGGCACCCGCAGAGTCGTTACGCACGTTGGCCAGCCGTGATGCGAACTTCTGGATTAGGTTGTTGGGGGTTCCGACAGTGCTTGAGGTGTCCGCTAACTCCACCGTTGATGATGGGTCGTTGTCAGCGGCACGGCTACCACCATTGCCGTAGTATGGTGAAGATTGTTCATCAATTGGCCGCTTTGGCCCTGTGACTGTATTCGCAAAAGCTGGGTACTGCCGCAAGGGCGTTTGGGTTTTCTGTAGCAGCTGCGCTTGCGGCATCGTTTGATCCTGTGCGCCGAACATTTCCACCAATGCCGTTTTCAAGGATTCCAGGAGCTCCCCTTGGTCGTGCAACATAATGGTTCGCTTATCAGGAGACACATTGACATCGTAAGAGCCGGTATCCATCTTCAAGTTCGCAAAGATGAAAGGTGATTGGGACATATTGAAGGATTTATACACCTCGTTGAACGCCTTCGAGACCTGTGGAAGACCACAGGGACGAGAGTTCACGAAGAACATCTGGCGATCTGGCAGCTGTCTGCCTTCGCCGGATGCAGGGCGAGAGATGTGGCCTTCAATGATGACCTGCCGTTCTGCGGGCCCGTTCTGCGCAAATTTCGCAGCAATACTAGAGGATGACTCCATCTCGAGCTGGAGATCAAGTGGTACGAGAGCAAGTAATGTCTTCGCACCATAGATATTGGCAATATTTTCTCTCGTAGTCGGATTAGATTTCGTAGAGAAGACAACCGTTTTCTTCCTATGCAACGGTCTCAGTAACAGTATCAGGGAGGTCGGGTTGTCCTCACTTACCCTTTCTTATCTATATTGCTCACGGAGAATCGAACGCCGGTGCTAATACACGCATATGCATGCAATATCCCAAGAACCTTCCCATATTCCCTTTTGATATTCTTTTCTAGTTCCCTGCGTCGAACTGGATAGTTGTAAAAGATATTGCTGACGGCAACAGCCGTGCCTTTCGTGCTGGCTATAGTCGATTTGTTCCCGAGTCGACCGCTGATTTCAAATTCGAGCTTCGATCCCTTGGGAGCATCCTCCGCTCGTGTAGTTATGATACTGAGTTTGGATAGGGCCGACAAAGAGGAGAGTGCTTCGCCACGAAAACCGAAGGTGTCGAGGGATTCGAGGTCGTCATAGCTTGTGAGCTTCGAGGTGTAGTGCTTGAGGGCTTAGTTTGATGTTAGCCGTCATGTGCTAATATATTTCCATGCGATGCATACCAAGGCTCTCAAAGTCTTCTGGACCAATCCCGGACCCATTGTCTTGTACTTCGATCGCGTCTAGGCCTTGGTTCTTAAGCCGAACGTCTAAATCTGTTAGTATCTCGAACGCGGCTGGTCTCACTCGTCTTACCAATTGAAGTAGCGCCAGCATCCAGACTATTCTCAACCAGTTCTTTGACTACCGAGCAAAGGTCGACTATAACCTGTCCCGACTGTATTTGGTGGATCTACTGACATTAGACATGATGTTGAAAATCGTGGCAACCGACTTACGGATCTGCCCTCAATCGGCTTGATTGTAGCCATCTCATCCCATATCCGTAATTAACAATCGATGCGAGATTCACCGTACCGCGGAGTACGGAAATTCAGATGGGACTTCCTTGGGATTTGTTGGAGCGGGTTGGTTGAAGTCGAAACGCGACGTCCGACAAATGACGCGTAGATGGAAACGCGAAATCACGTGAAATTCCAGTTCTGTGACATATGGTACCTGCAGGGTTCTATTGTATGCGGAAACCACATTGCTTCCAGCTACTATCAATATCTTTACGGAACCACGTTCGTTCCCTATGTGCCCTACATTCTCATACTCGCCTGATTTAGAGTTATAATTTGATATCTATATTAATATAGAAAGTCTGCGTTGAGTCCGGTCGAAAGTTTTTCATTTTCGACTTGTAATGCAGACGATGGTCTTGTTCCCCTGGGCAACAGTCTGATGCATGAAGGAGTAGCTGACTATTCCATAGCCCTCTGAAATTCTCATTTGCACAAATTTACCTTATCTATAGTCGCAAGAGCCATCCAATGCCTTCCAACCTACGAGTGTCTCGCCCCAGGCGGCATGGACTTGAGGCCATACCATGTCATAGTGCTTATCATTGCGGGGGAGCCTTAGTTGCGCTGGTTTTCGATTCCGCCACTGGCCTTTGTAGAAGTATGAATACGTGATTGATTGATTTGTCTAGGAGTAGGGAGATCTGGAGGAATAGGAGGTGACTTCACACGATACTAGCCGTATTGGGATGTCACCTCTCCCAACCTTAAGAGGGGATGGTCGATATCCAACAGCCCTGTGGGGGCACTACATATGGCCGTTCCTAGAGCAAGAGGATAGCCATGAACAGAGCGTATCCATTTGTCTTGAAGGCACTTAGGTTAGATGAGGAGTATGGTTAAGAGCTGGGACTGTTTTATAGATGCCCAACGGACTCGAAGGGCGAACTATCTTAATTACTCTGTGTCTCGATCAGAAAAGAAAAGATCGCGGGGATCTGGAAGCTTAATTAGCTGGCTGACCGCAGAGCCCTATTTGAGACGCAGAACTAGAGCCGCTTCGGGCTCCATGAATACGGATTAAGATCATTTGTCTAGTGATTGGCCAGCCCACCTATTGCTCAAGGCTGGTAAGATTTTCCTACCCGAGTTTGGGATTTTCCCACCAAATGAGATTGGCTGGTGAGATTTTCCCCCCGTTGAAATTTTTCCTAAAGTTTATCTCGCATCTTGAGAGGGTTATTGTCAGAAATTCCACTGAATTGACTGATTTAGTAATGGTAGCTCCGTAGTGCCATGAGCGCCGAGGCCTCGTGTTTCTGAAGGCCGTCGTACCGGTTAAGGCACTGGGTTTCCCACGGGTCCTTCCATGTCCTTGCTCTCCTTCCTGGTTTGGCCGCTTCGGCTTGCCATCTCTCCCTCCATTTCGCCCGATACTCGTCCTGGATCATCCGGTGCGGGCCTTTTCGCTGTTGTGTCTGATATCCCCTAGCTGGTTCGGGCCGGGGGAACAGAAGTTTGTCATATTGGGTCCGGAGAGTACATATTGCGGGTTCGTGTTTAGACCGGACACGGCGGGGTCGGCCTCGAGTTCGTCTCGGGGGAGCAGAAGCAGCATCCCAGACTTGCGTCAGGGCTCCCTCAATCTGGGTAGTGACCTTATGGGAGGTCGTCGATGCTGCTCTTTGAGCGGCCCGTTCTTGGACGTACAGTTCGATTGGGGGAACGTCCGCCTCTTTCTCAAGCGCGGCGATTGGTGTCCGTTTGTAAGCCCCTAGGATCGTTCTATAGCAAACTATTAAGCATGAGTAAGCGCCGGAGATAACGATGTCCAATATTAATGTTTTGTTCAGACACCACCATGGACAAAATCACCATGTGGATGCCCTGCCACCATCCACCATATACGATAAATAGAGTTAAACTTAGTTAATGCTAGTTAGTTACCATAGGTTTAGTTAATGTAATCCATCACAGAGCTAGCCAAACCACGGAGTTAGCCACCTCACCACCAATAACGATCATCGCCGTTTTTCCCGATGTCTCGACAAAAACAAGTTTCATTGCCTTCAAACGAAGGTAATATGAATTTAGCTAAAGTGGCTATCGAACAAGACTAAGTTCGATCAAATCGAGCTGCTGTATAGTTGAAGTGGCCTACCCGGTGGTTTGGCTAGCTCGGTGGCGGATTATGTTAGTTAGTGTTACTGCTACCATGCTAGTTCTTACCTAAACTCAACATTGTCACGTATCCCTCTACGAGGATCGCAAGGTAGTGAATAGAGGGGATGAACAAGACTCTTCCCCAATTCTAGTAACTAGCGAGCATCGTGGCAATTCGAGGTGTTCACCAGCAAGCTTTCTTTCAGATCTGATCGTCAATAAGGCGAGACATTAATAAGGTTTAAGACACGGTTCCGCAAACCCAAGCTCCTACCCAGCGCCAACAGCGTCTAATCCAAGAAATACGACCAGCTAATGCAATCTCCCTTCAAATCCCTCATCTCCAAATCACGTTCTTAAATCCCCTTAAATTCAACTTCACACTTTCCCCCTACAACTGCCCACTCAACACAGCCTCCGTCGCACTCCCAATATACTGCCTCTTCCCATCCAACCCTACCCCAAACCGCCTCTCCAACTCCAACTTAATGCTCTTCTTCGTTACGCTCATCAGATCCGCCGTCTTCAAAATCTCCCGAATCTCTGCCAGCAGCGCATCGTCCGACGGCAGCGCCGCCATGTCGCCCATCTCCATCCCCAGGTTGTTGCTCCCACCCGCCATATCGCCGTACCCCGACGGCACTAGCGATAGCCGCGACCCCGCCGCATACCGTGGCATGTCGAGCGTGGAGATCGGCCGCGACGGCGGCGCCGGGTACCCGTAGGGCGCGCCGCCGTATTCGCTCCCGGCGGTGGTGACGGGGGTGGCGAAGGGGCCCTGGCCACCCATGAAGCTCTTGGTGGCGTAGCTGAAGCCGGAGACCTCGCTGCGGTCATCGCGCTGGGTCTGGGCCTCCCAGAGCTCGGTCTGATAGTCCTCCCACTTCTTGCGGGGGATGGAGGCAGGGTCGAATTTCCCTTCGTCGGAGACGACGAGTTTCTTGCCTTTTTCGCCGGTGACGATTCGCGTATTGCCCCAGGTGAAGTCGTCCATATGCCAGAATGCGTATAGAGGGAGGCCGCAGGCGAAGATGGGGGTCGCGAGTAGGTAGATGATCATCCAGCCGATCATCTCCCATTTGCGGCGCAGGATGAAGATGATGGCTTGGAGGCCGTAGATTGCGCCGAGGAGGACGAAGGCCCAGATGGGGATGACAGAGCTATTTCGAGTAATAAGGATGATGAGATAAATGAGGTAGCCGACGATGACGGGTTGGACAATGGTAGAGAGCAAGTCGATGAAGACGACAAAGCGCATAGAGAAACAGCAGAATCCACAAAGCTGCTGCAATGGGATGAGTTCCATCAGGTTGTGCACCGTACTGTTAATCCATCGTCGTCGCTGCGACATGAACACCGTCCAGCTGTCTGGCGCGATGGTCCAGGCGTGCGCGCGGAAGATGTACTTCGTCTTGTACTTTGAATGATGTTTCAGCAGCAACGTGGTTAGATATCGGTCCTCGCCCAAGTGCAGCAGGTTCTTCATATGCAGTGTGTCCACACGGATGTTGCTATAGTCCTCGATGATCTCCTTGCTCACGAACAGCGGCTTGCCCGTTTCCGCGGTGCGGATGCGGTACATGGAGAAACACCCAGGCAGACACGTCACGGAGCCGAACAGTGACTCGAACGCTTTGGTCAGATTGTGCGAGATATAGTATTCGTACACCTGGATCATGGTGACGAAGGAGGATTTCGCGTTCGAGAGCGCCGTCTCGCCGCACACGCCGATGACCCGCGTGTCGTGTAGGAACGAGGAGATCATCCGTGTGGCGGAGTCAGGAGCAACGACCGTGTCGGCGTCGATTTGGAAGAGGAATTCGTAGAACGTCGGGTTGACGCCGATGATGTTGCGGATTTGATGGTGCATTTCCAGCTCTAGTGGCGCCATTGGGAGATTGTAGTGGACGCGGTTGAGGAAGCGCATGAGAACCATTTGCGAGTCTCGCTTACCACGATTTCCAGGTCTGTCGAATGTCAGTATGCTCCCTCATCTTCCGAACCACCTCGAATTCCGAACTGATAAAAAATTCGAACGGAAAAACTCACTTCGTAACTTCACTCGGCTTCCCCACCTTCACAATCACCATAAACGGCACGATATGCCCCTGTGTCTCATACAGCCCACTATACACCTTCCCCATATTATGCTGCTTCATCCCCTCGCCCAGACTCTCAAAGCTCAACGGCTCCGGATCCGTCGTCTCCGGCACCCCCAAAATATCCAGCACTATGCGCGGCGTGCTGCGATCGTTCCCCTGCCCAATAATCATTCCGTCACAGATCAGCACCAGCAGTTTGCGCTTGTCGTCGTACCGCATGCGCGCGGCGGAGTCGATAGCGCGACGCAGGGAGTCCTCGTCTTCGGTATACGCCGGCACGGTGCAGATGACGAACTTGTCGAGGTTCTCCGGGATGTTTTTCTTGCCGAACTGGAGCGCCGCGAGGAACTTGAACCCGATCACGCTGACCAGCACCAACGAGATGGCGAGGAGGAGGTACTTGGCGAACTGGCACTGCGTGCTGTTCCGCGTGTCCACGTCGCCCACGTAGAACAGGTTGGTCAGACAGGCAGACATGCGAGATTTTTCGGCCGTCGTCATTTGCAGGGCGTCCCAGTACTTGGTGACGTCTAGCCCGGCGCGCTGCTGGAAGAGGTCGACGACGCGGGAGTCCATGAAGTTGACGTCGGGTTTGGTTTCTGGTTGCTCCATGCCTGGTGGGTACTGCGCGATGCGTCCGCCTGGGACGTAGGAGGTAAAGTCGTAGACGCGCTCGTTGAGGATGGCGATGGAGTTGCCCTTGCTGGCGAGCGTTTTGAGGTATTGCGGGGAGTACCCGACACGGCCCTTCTGATAATTCGCTTTGAGGTACATCTGCTTCTCGTACCACCAGTCGCGGCGCGAGTCGTTGGTCCAAGAGCGGAAATCGTGGTATTTGGCGTTGTTGTCGGTCAGCGACACCAAGGCGGGCGACCCGGAGTAATTGGAGTTCTGGTAGTTCAGATTCACAGCCGGGTCAATGGTGCCGTCTTTGCCTTCGCAGAGTGCGGAGACTTGCACCGGGAAGAGATTCGTGGCGTCGACACCGGCGTATTTCTTCAGGGCAGACTGCGGTACGATATTGGGGTAGTGGACGGGAGCGAAGGCGTCGAGGTCGTACACGACGCCGCGGATGGCGACAAAGGCGGAGTGACCATCTTTGCCGTCGTGGGTGGCAAGTTCGGAAGCGGAGAAAACGTGTTGGGTAGGGCAGATGAGTTCGGGGAACCCGACTGCAAGATATTAGCACGGCTGTCCACGCTGCTCATCTCCAGGAAAATAAGGCAGGATGAAACTTACTCATAAAAAAGATCACCGCCGCACAACTTAACCAAATCAACATATTAATCGCCAACTTCTCCCTCCACGCCACTCGCACATCCTTCCTTCCCATCCTTCCCACAAACCGGACCAAAAAATCCGGCACCCACCACGTCAACGCATACACCACCACCAGCCACCGCTTCCGACTCCCCGTCACCACCGCCTCGTCCACCGTCTCCATCTTCTTCTCCCCGGCCTTCTCCGCCATCTGCTCCCGCGTCGCTAGGTTGCGGAACATGTCACCTCCGGTCATCACGCTGATCCCCGCCTCCGACTTTCCGTCCGCGGGGACTTCCCGCCCGAAGTACCCCGCCGCTTTGTCGTCGTGGTAGAACGCCGCCGGCGACGACCCGTTCGAGCCCATCAGCCGCGTCTGCGGATCAAACCGCCCTCCGGTGGGCGACAGCAGGTTATTCTCGTCAGTGTCCCCGCCCTCTGGGTAGCCAAGTGCGCCTCGCGACCCGACGAGCGAGTCCGCCGCGATGCCCGCGAGCATCGCCCAGCAGCGCTCGGAGAAAAACACCCCGGTGCTCCCCACGCGGGCTTCCTGCTCGGGCCAGCGCCGCTCATCGATGACGATCTCGCAGCGCTCGCGCTCGCTGCCAACGATGCTTGATCCGAGGCCCATACCGCCATTCGTGCCCTTCGCCTCGGCGAGGCTGAGCACCTCGCCGAAGGGAAGGAAGACGGAGAAATCCGCGCTGCGGAGCCGCGTCGAGATCTCGGCGATGCCGAAGGTCTGCAGCTGGTGGCGGACGCACTTGCTGTCGAACTGGTTGGCGATGCGGCGGTCGTTGGGCTTGAGGCAGAAGATGAAGTACGGGTTGGTGTTGGGGAGGGAGAGGGACTTGGTGATGGTGGTGAGAGAGCTGAGGTATTGGGCGGCCGCACCCTGCTGCATGCCCGCGGCGTTGGTGGTCGGGTTGCGGCTACGTGAGACGCTACGTTCGGCGCGGGGGTCGTCATCGTCTTCTTCTTCGCTGGTGCGCCGACCGGCGCGGCGGCCGCGGGTAGTGGCGCCCAGTTTGCGGCGGGCCATGCTGGGTTTGCGGGCGGGTTTGCTGGCAAGGGAGGCCTGTACGATGGCGGTCTTCTCCTGGGGGTGGTGGATGGTGTTGAGGGCGGGCTGGCCGAACAGGTCGCGCACGAAGGAGCTGCGGGTGGAGTTGATGAGGTTGAGCATGTCGCCGGCGATGACCTCGGCGTTGGCATCGAGGAGGCCGTCGGCTGGGTATTCGACGGCGCCGGCGAAGTGGCGGATGGTGAAGGAGGCGGCGGCGTTGGCGGAGGCGAAGTTGCTGCCGGGGAGGACGGCGGTCGCGGCGCTGACGTCGATGCTGGGCGACTTGCCGGTGAACCGCTTGCGGATGGTGTCGATGAACTGGGCGTCGGTCTTGCCGCGGCGGGTTTGGTCGTCGAGGATACTGAGGAGGCCGTTGCCGGGCTTCAGGAGCATCTTGACCGCGTCGCTGTTGTCGAAGTAGCTCGTCGCCGGCACCGTCACGTCTTCCGTCTGCAGGAGGTCTTCCGGTCGGTCGAAGAAGCTCTGCAGGGTGAAATTGTACAGTGACTCTCCCGCCGCGTTGGTGAGCAGCTGGTCGAGCGTATCGCCCCCAGCCGACTGATGCATAAAGCCGGGGAAGTCGACGATGGAAATTGTGTTCGCAACCGTGTCTTCCACCGCACAGATGCGCTGATTGATCGACTCGATGACATACGCCACGAGCAGCCCATACAGCGTCCGCGCCAACTCATCCGCGTTGTCCCGTGCGCCTTTCGGATCCAGCATCACCGTCACGCGCTCCCGATGCACCGTCCGCGTTTTATACCCCAAACTCTGCTCCAGATCCTCCGCCTGGAGCCCCAAAAACGCTGCGACGATGTTCAAACAGTCCTTATTCCGCACCACCGTGACATCTTCTCCACCTTCATGGGAGAATCCGCCGCTATCGTCGCCCGTCGGCGTGGTCGACTGCGTCATCATGAAATCCAGCTGCCCGATATGCAGAATCGCCGCCAAGATCTGGCAGATCTCCGCGATCTCGCTACGCGGGAACTCCAGTTTGCGGAGGGCGGACTTAAACGCCTGGAACCCCTCGGCGTCGTTGATCCCGACCTGCAGCTGCGAACGATGGCCGAGATAGCGCCAGAACTTGCCGCCGGCGGACGCACGACTCCCGGGCTCATTGGCCACGATGCCTGGATTGTCGAGGCCGAGGTGCTGTTTTTCGGAGGGGGTGGTGCCCGCAAGGAGGTAGTAGAGGATGTGGAAGTTGCGCTCGCCGGTGGGGACTTTGGTGACGCGGGAGCGTTCGAGGCGGTGGTCGAGGAGCTTGCCGCCGATGAGGACCGGGTGGAGGGTGGTGGAGGTGTCGTATTGGAATTCGTAGAAGAGGCCGGATTTCGAGGCAGTGGGGGTGGTGGCGGCCTTGGTGGTGGTGAGGGTGTCGAAGACGTAGGCGGCGTAGGAGAGTTTCCCGGATAAGGGGGTGGAGGTGTATGAGAGGAGGGATGAGATGAGGTGGGATCGAAGGGTGGTTTTGCCGGAGCCGGATTCTCCTCTATTACGAGTTAGATTTGACCTATGATATTCCGAACACGAGCTCTGAATAGTGTGCATAACAAGAAAAGGAGACTTACAAGAATACCACCGCCTGATTCTCCCCCCGATGTCCCAATCTCGTCCACGCCCTCGACGCCAACTCCTTCACCCCCGCCAACGCGCTCCCCTCCTCTGTGCCATTCGGCCCCTGGGCACTCGACTTGAAATTATTGACGGAGATGAGCGCCCGACTGGACAGCGTCGCGGTGGCCAAGTTCGCGTGGAACCGGCTGGCGAGGTGCGCGGTGAGGTTGGTATCGGACTGCAGGTGTTCGGGGAGGGCGTGGAGGGAAGACTCCGCGTGCTGGGAGGGGAAGCTGGACATGGTGTTTAACGCCATGGGAATTAGGGGATGAGGTGAGGTAGGAATGGGAGATGATGGGTAGCCTCCCCTGGTGGGGAGCGCAGGGCAGATTACGAAGGGTGTCGAGAGTCCAAGGATGGATTTCGAGGAGTTGGATTAGCTGGATTGACAAGATTGGGATTCGAAGGTGTTGGAAGGCTGCTCGCGAGGACAAGAGGCGTGAAATGAGGATGGAAGGCAACAGTTCTTCCCAAGCAACGACCTCGAAAACGATGTCGGGTTCCAGGGGGAATTGAATCTGGCAACCTGGCAACGACGGGTGATATTAAGCGAATGATAATAAACCCCAAATGCAAATAGTACCAGAAGCGAAAGATTGCGAAGATGCAAAAGATGGCAACGAGGGAGGTTCGTCCAGAGGAACGGGTGGTGGAGCGAAAGACGTGGTGATGGTTACTGGAGCAGGAAACGAAAGCGAATTGTGAGGCGTGAGGTCCACCGGAGTTGTTTGGACTTGGGACTTTCGAGTTTGGAGAGAGTTCATGATACTAAGCCTCTGTGGGTGTATATTACATTACCATTGTACTTGGGGTTATTAGGGGCATTGTAGATCTTAGGGCCATTGGTGTGAGGCAAAATCGGGGTGAAAACAATAGTGCGGGCTATTTCGAGGAAACAGAGCGAGACTAGACAGGGACACTAGACAAGGGACCATCAGTCAACATACGTAGTAGGTTGGATTAGGTATCGTTGGGAATTGGGATCGAGTGGCGGCGATGGTCAAGTCTAATGATCGATGCTTGGCTGCATGTGCTTGTGTTGATTTCCATCTGGAATTCTGTATAGAGAATTTCATGAATTCGTGGATGTAGTTGATTCATGGGCTGTTGAAGCTCAGCTGAATCTATCGCTCTTCTCTTCCTCTCCCTCTCCTTCACCCACCACCAACTAAACTCGACGCTTCCCATCTCCACCTTCCAGAACACCATCATTCGATCTCCCCAAATTTTCCTACATCCAGGGATCCCCCGTCGTCCGGGGTTACTGAAGTGTTACCAAGCTCCGCTCCGCGGGCACAAGCCCGGCTGTGAGACGGCCTAGGCTCTGGCTCTGTGCTCTATGGCAAAAATTCTCTTTAGGAAAGGGGAACCGCACGAGCAGGAAAAGGGACATTATGGAACTTGGAAGGACGGGTGGCTCGAGTGTGATCGTCATTCGTCCCGTCCGAGGTGTAACGAAACTTTCTTCTCTGGCGGGTATCCTTGTAGAGCTGAGGAGGTAGACGATATGTTTAGGTGTTTCTGTTGGCGATAAAGGAGAATAGTTAGGCGACAGAGAATACTGCCAGGCGTCCTACCTAAGCCTCAATACAATATTACAGTTCAGCAAGCTTCGCGAGCCCGATGATGGTGTATTGGGTAGCGAAAGCAAGCGATGGGCGACTATTTTTGGCGGATGATCATACGTGGGATGGTGGACCATAGTTTGGGGATGGGACGGCACAGGACAAACCGCTTTTCTTCACAGCGAAGTCATCCGAATCATCTGGACAACGGTTGGAAGGCATTCAAAGGGCCCATTGTCTATTGGCTGGGGACATGAATTGTACTGACCCGAGGTCTAGAATGATCGATGAGACCAAGTGTAAACATTGCCATTTCCCTATATATCATTCCAGTTGACAGTTGACAGTTGTAGATGTTTCCCTGCGCGGACCCTGTAGAAGAAAAGTTGGTAGGTGGTAGACGAACCGCACCGAACCACTCCATGCTGGCGGCTACATCATTCATGTGGATATCCTGCTTGCCTCGATCCGCTGTCCAGGACTCAGGAGTTATTGTCTCAACCTCGACGATAAAAAAACTCTCTCTTATGATATGAGACGGATGACCAACACTCAACGATTTGGATTTGGCGATGCTAAATTCGGGACACACTTCGCCACCATCGGAATCGCTGCCGTCCACGGCAATATGATACAGTAATATGATACGCCGTAGCGCTGACAACCATCCCTTATTAGCCCCCCTGCAGCTCTCACCCAATATTACCGCGCTAGACTGGATAGAAACAATACTAAATGCAACTAAACAATCAACATGGCAACGCACAGTGGACACCATCAGGAGAATAAGGAGGAATTAGTCCGGGAATGTGATTGGGGGCTTGTTTCGTGTAATGCTCCGGTAACCGTGGAGAATCCTGCAGGCTGCAACAGAGCGATGCGAGTTCGAGAACAGTCCGTGGTCTTAGCTGCGATTTGCGAAGGGCTTAAGGGCTAAGGCTAATACGCTCATCGTGAGGTCCCTCTCGTTCGCTGGATCCTCGTCTGCTCCGTTGGTCAGAGTGTCTATCAGTTGTCCCCTTGTTCTGCAGAACAACGTGTTGCTGCTCCATGTTTCCACGACCACCACCCATTTTCTTTGGATGAGAGCCCGTTGGCCTGCCATCGTTTTTGACTTCATCTCATCCTTCATCTTTCGTTACATGATTGATTCTATTTCATCTTGACTAATACGGTCATTGCATTCGCTTGCTGTGCTTGGGGGTCTGTTCCCATCTTGCTCTCGCTTGCTTGACATTCGCTTCTATCCCCTTCGGTGCTGACGAGACGAAACACACGAAGACAACTGCAGCCTCGAAGAAGTCGGCACAACTTCATCAGGATATCTTGTGAAACCTGCAGGCTATCTCAAATTCTATTCATTCATCTACTATTGATATAATTCATTCATCCATCGATCGAATCATCAACACAACAACACCCTGAGGACAGCGTCGTCCAACCGCCAACATGGCGAGTTACAATAATAACCGGAATTCCACCTTCTCAACCCTCTCGGGTCCGACGTCTTCCTCCCAGCAGGTATCGACGACCACCCTCCTCAATGCTCTGCATACGTCGTATCAATCCGGCCAGCCGCTGGTCTTGGAATCCAGCACCAGCTTGGTGGTAAACACATGGTTGACCGCGTCGAATACCGGCCCCGATGGACGGTATGGCGGCACAGTCGACGTTGAACTTGGTAGAAAAGCATGGGAACACGCCCGCCGGCGAGCAGAGGATGCATGTGTGATTCTTGGGTACGCTCCCTCCCCAATCTTCCAAGTTCCATCCTCAAACTAACTCCCACAGCTCCCTTCACGAATCCATCCCGTCCCTCTTCGCCCCCTTCGTCTCCGCCCTCCCCATCTCCGTTCCCTCCGCCGTCTACACCGCCCTCCAAGTCCTCCGCCCCTTCACCCACTGCGTCACCCCAACCAATCCCTCCCTCCCTCGCCACTCCTCCCTCTCCGCCACCTTCGCCCTCTCCCTCGACGGCGACCTCGCCTCCGCCCGGCTCGCCCTCTCCACCTCCGGCATCGACACCCAGCTCGGCCTCCTCAACGTCCCTGACGCCCCCGGCCACCGCGCCTTCGACGTCTTCTACTACCTCAACTCCTCCTCCGCCTCCCAGGCCGAGCGCGACGCCCTTGACCTCCGCGCTCCCTCCGCCTACTCCCTCCTCAACCGCTCTGGCACCTACCATCCCCCCACCTACCTCCCCACCGCCGACGACGCCGCCGCCGCCGAAGACTTCCGTGCGAACCTCAAATCCCTCGGCATCCGCGGCCCCGCGCTCCGGAACCTGATCAGCACGCTCGCCGGCCTCCTGAAGCTCGGGGACACCCTCGGGTATCTGGTCGACGAGGATGTGCTGGTGCGGGTGTGCGACGACGCTGCAGACCTCCTGGATGTCGATGCGGAGGTGTTGCGGCGGAAATGCGACACCGTCGACCGCGAGGCGCTGATTGCGGGAGTGTACGAAGCGTTGGTGGACTGGGTGGTGGCGCGGGCGAACGAGGCGATCAAGGCGGAGTTGGCGGGGATTGAGGGGCACGGAGCGGACGTCGATCTCGGCGATTCAGTGTCCATCACGGTGGTGGAGATTCCCGGTCAGATGTTGGGGAAGGCGGCGGCGTTGAAGACGGTGTTCGATGATAGCGATGGGATTAATCTGGAGATGAAGGAGGATGGCGTGTTGGTGGAGTCGGCAGGATCATCGGTGCTAAGGGAGGTGAACAATGCCGTCGCGGAGTGCGGGTATGAGCTTGGTATGCGATCCGACTCCGCCGCCCACCGCGACCGGGACATCGCCACCGATCGTCGCGAGGCCGTCCTCGAAAAAGTCGCCCACTCCATCGACGACGACAGCTTCCTCAAGTCCCTCCTCCTCCCCACCCCGAACGCCGGCATCCTCCTCGGCACCCCCCAATCTGGCCGTTTCGACCTCTCCGCCCTCATCTCCTCCTCCCGTGTCTGGTTCCACCTCTGCCTTTACCCCACCGACGATCTCCCCGCCTCCCTCACCACTTCCCTCACCCCCTGGTCTGCCGGCGCCGTCTCCCGCCAACTCCGCACCTGGCGCCTCCCCGAATGGGCCACCCGCCGCAACCGCGCCCTCGACTACACCGCCGACTTCGACGTCGACGAGTTCGTTGCCCGCTACGCCCGCCTCGGATGCCTCGAGGGCAAAGACGGCGTCGAGTCCTGGATCATGGAGCGCGGCTGGAGCAATGGCGAGGTCTACCTCGGCCACGAGCGCGTGTGGATCCGTGAGTCCGCGTGGTGGGAGGCGGAAAGCATGCTCGATCTCAAACTCAACGAGCCGCCACCGCCGCCGCCCGCTCAGGAGCTGTTCCCCGCGCCGAGCCCTGGCATGGGGGGAAACGGCTACTTTGGGAACCAGTTCGCGGATAACGCCACATTGCGCGGGAGTCGTGAGGATCTGATGCGCCGGCAAAGTAGCGCGACGGGGCTGGCGAAGAGCATCGCGCCGACGACGCAGCAGAGCGCGATCGGTGACTATGGGCTGGGGTCGAAGGGCGACGAGCATAAGGGCGTCACGTTCGGTAATGATCTGGATGCGGAGCTCGGGCAGAATCGCGTTGTGGAAGCGCGCCCGATCACGGCGGGCAGAAGGTTTTGGGTGGGTCTGGTGTGGGCTCTGACGTTTTGGATCCCCTCGCCGGCGCTGCGGTACATCGGGCGGATGAAGCGCCCGGACGTACGCCTGGCGTGGCGGGAGAAGGTGGTGCTAATGTTCATCATCTTCCTGCTAAACGGCATCGTGGTGTTCTACATCATCCAGTTCGGGAAACTACTCTGTCCGAACTGGAACAAGGCGTGGGATAAGAAAGAGGTCGGTTATCATCAAGGCGACGACGATTTCTGGGTCTCGCATGCCGGAAAGGTGTATGATCTGTCCAAGTTTTGGAGGATTCAGCACTCCGACACGGCGATCGAGACGACGAAGGATAACATGCAACCGTTCGGCGGGGTGAATATGGATTCGTACATCCGCCCACCGCTGACCATCGCCTGTCCGAATTTGGTGACCGACACCATGGTCAAGCTGGACACCAACGAGACGCTGACTGATCCGTCCGCCGCCCACACGTCCGGCCCAACCTACCAGACGGACCCGACAACGGCACTGCACGACATCAACTGGTACACGCAGTCGTTCCTGCCGCGGATGAAGGAGTTTTACAAGGGAGATCTGGTCATTGATAAGAACTTCGTGAAGGATGATGGGAAAAATAATAACCATCAATGGGTCATCATCGACAACAGCATCTACGATCTCACCGACTACTTCTACACGCAGAAGCGTTTCCAGGGGCGTGACCCGCGCTACAATTTCTTGGACCCCGCCGTCGAGGACTTGGTGAAGAATAACCCCGGCGAGGACATCACCGACCGCTGGATCGACAAGCTCAACCGCACCACCAAAGGCGCCCACAAGCAATGCTTCGACAACTACTTCTACGCCGGCAAAACCGACTTCCGCAAGACCCCTAAATGCGAAGTGCAAAACTACATCCTCCTCGCCTTCACTGTCGTCCTTGCCTCCGTCATCCTCACGAAATTCCTGGCCGCCCTCCAACTCGGCTCCAAGCGCCGCCCGGAACAGCAAGACAAATTCGTCATCTGCCAAGTCCCCGCCTACACCGAAGGCGAAGACCAGCTCCGCAAGTCCCTCGACAGTCTCACCGCCCTCGCCTACGACAACAAACGCAAGCTCATCACCGTTATCTGCGACGGCATGATCGTCGGCGGCGGCAACGACCGCCCCACCCCCAAAATCGTCCTCGACATCCTCGGCGTCGACCCCAAAACCGACCCGCCCGCCCTCCCCTTCAAGTCCGTCGGCAACGGCTCCGAGCAGCTCAACTACGGGAAGGTCTATTCCGGCCTCTACGAGTACGAGGGCAACGTCGTCCCGTACCTCGTCGTCGTCAAGGTCGGGAAGGAGTCCGAACAGCGGAAAACGAAGCCGGGGAACCGCGGGAAGCGGGATTCGCAGGTCCTCCTCATGTCATTCCTCAATCGCGTGCATCATCGCGCGCCCATGTCGCCGCTCGAGCTCGAGATGTATCACCAGATCAACAACATCATCGGCGTCGACCCGGAGCTCTACGAGTATCTGCTGATGGTCGACGCGGACACGATGGTGAAGGAGGATAGTTTGAATCGGCTGGTGGCGAGTTGCGCGAACGATGCGAAGATCGCGGGGATTTGTGGGGAAACGAGCTTGGAGAACGAGGAAAGGAGTTGGTGGACGATGATTCAGGTGTATGAGTATTATATCAGTCATCATTTGGCGAAGGCGTTTGAGAGTTTGTTTGGGAGCGTGACGTGTTTGCCGGGCTGGTAAGTTTTTTTTTTCATCCGCTTCGACGGGTTCTTCCCTAATTCTCGATGCTAACTTGTCTAGCTTCTGCATGTACCGCATTCGCACTGCCGACAAAGGAAAGCCTCTCGTTATATCCGACAACTTGATCCGCGAGTACGCCGACTGCGAGGTCGATACCCTGCATAAGAAGAATCTGCTCGCGCTTGGAGAGGATCGGTACCTCACGACCCTTATGACCAAGTACTTCCCGCACATGTCCTACCGGTTCGTTCCGGACGCCTACGCGCAGACCGCCGCCCCCGAAACCTGGTCGGTCCTGCTCTCGCAACGACGTCGCTGGATCAACTCGACTATCCATAACCTGGCGGAGCTGATGTTCCTGAAGGACCTGTGCGGGTTCTGTTGCTTCAGCATGCGATTCGTGGTCATCCTCGATCTGTTCGGGACGATCATCCTGCCGGCGACGTGCGCGTATCTGGCGTATCTGATCTACGTGGTCGCCACCGGCAGCGGGCCGTTCCCGCTGATCTCGATCATCTTGCTGGCCGCGGTGTACGGTCTCCAGGCGATCATCTTCATCATCAAACGCCAATGGCAACATATCGGCTGGATGATCATCTACCTCCTCGCCTTCCCGATCTACTCGTTCGTTCTCCCCGTCTACTCCTTCTGGAAGCAAGACGACTTCAGTTGGGGCAACACCCGTATCGTAGTCGCCGAAAAGGGCACCAAGCAAGTCGTCTCCCTTGAAGACGAGCACTTCGACCCCCGCTCCATTCCCCTCCAGCGCTGGGACGACTACGCCGACCAAAACGGCCTCCCCGGCCGCCGCGGCATCCCCACCGCCCCCGGGACCCCCTCCCCCTTCGAAAAATTCGGCACCTCCATCTACGAAGCCCCTGCCAATCACCACACCTCATTCATCCAGCCCGCCATCCCCATGAACCCCATGCACCACGACGACCTCCACTCTGTCTACTCCTCCGTCCCCCCCGCCTCCACCATCCTCACGTCCTTCCCGCCCGGCGCCCACGTCGCCCCCGCTACCGCTAGCCCCGTCAACCCCTTCGCCTCCACCGCCAACCGTCAATCTACCTACTCCTTCGTCGGCAACCAAGACGTCCGCCAGAGCACTGGAAACCTCTCTGACCACTTCACCCACATGCAGAACGCCCGCGCCTCTGGCAGCCAAGCGGACCTGCTCGGCCCCTCGCGCCGCTCCACCCCCGGTCTCGGCGGCATGGGCGCGATGGGAATGGGCGGCGGTGCGGGCGCAGGTGGCAGCCCGTACGGCGGGGTGAGCCGACCAGTGTCGACGGTGAACTTTCAGAACATGGCGAACGGGCCGACGAACGAGCAGATCGCGGAGGCGGTGCGGGAGTGTTTGCGGGAGGTGGATCTGGATACGGTGACGAAGAAGCAGTTGAAGGCGTTGGCGGAGCAGCGGTTGCAGACAGCGTTGGTGGGGGAGAAGAAGGTGTATTTGGATGGGGTGATTGATTATGAGTTGGCGAATATGTAGGGCGATCAAGAGAGCGTTGGATTCCTTTGGTTTCGGTAAAATTTGTTTGATAATAGTCATTCCTTTTGTGGTGGATGCGATATTTGCGCTGCGGGGATGGGGTTGGAATCGGGCGCTTTTGGCATTTTGAACTTGCATTTGTTGGATCCAATACATGGGTATCTAAGATATTTTAATGGTAATGAGTTCACTCTACTGTCCTCGTTCTGCTCTTCACCTCGTCGTTTGTGTTTTAGCATGTCGTGCTCCTGCCTCAAAACTACATTCTTGGACCTTCGTCCACTGTTTCACCAGTCATGTTAGTGAATACTTGTACACTTTTCTGGACAGACGATTGTTTGATCTTGTCAATTGTACGGCACCGTCTCTGAATACCGGTCCCTCAAGTTGCAGTAGTTGGGGGGATCCACGCGGATACTGCAAACCTTTATTCCAGTCACTCAGATCATTTTCGCCATGCAAACGCGGCATTACTGAGAGGACGATTACTTATATTGAGCTCCTTGATGATAACCAGCTTGCGACAAAGTTTCCAGAATATCCTCATCATCCCAAGTCAACATCACTCGTCTTAAGCATTGCGAGTCTTTTCGATCTAACCCTTCTGTTTCGTCTTTTCGTTTTTCCGAATTCTTTCACCTGGAGTTGAGCGAAATCCAATACCGTTGCCAGTCAAGAGGGTTTGTTCCTTCTTTCTGCAACAGCAATTTCATAAATATTTATGTTCTGCAACCGGTCTTCCGCTGTATTTTCGCACTTCCAAACCTTAAGCGCAAGGCCAGATCATCCACGGGAGAAATCGACCTTTGGTCCACTTATTAAAGTGCCCCATTTATAGGTGCCATGTCGAGCTTATACTTAGCCTGCCAGTTCCAGCTCTACGAGTCTCCCCCTCCCCCATCGAACCTATTACGGATATCGACGAAAATAAGCCCTTGATCTTTATTAAAACGAGGAGTCCGAGCTGGAGAATGATACCGATGCTGGCGAGCACGAGAATAGGGATGAGTATTTCGATAGCGACGATGAGCCCGAGCCGGAGGGCGATGAGTACGAGGATGGGTATTTCTTCGATAAAGCTCCTGATAAAGAATAAGAAGCGTTTACCGCGTTATGCCTAAATTAAGGGGTTCCTATACATATATTAGTCTGTTCCTTATTTCCATTTTCTACTTCCCATTTTTCTCGCTACAGGATCGCCGATGAGTTGACGGGCGGCAAGACTGGGCCGGGCAATCCCCGACACCCACCGTGCCACGTAGAACCTCACATCCAAGGTCTACTGCTAGTCACAGGAAGGCTGTTACTATTCAGATATCTATATTCACCACTCTGACATGCAATGTAGGACGCTTATCTAAAGCTCTTGGAATTTGAGAGGAGAAAAGTATGGGAAATGAAAACCCAACTCCGCGTCACGAATACTGCCGAGTTTGGCGCACTGCACAGAGAGATATTCACCGAGCAAGGGAGAACGCAAGTGTTGACTCGACCCTTCATGCGAGGAAGTTGTACGAGCGGGCAGTACATGCTGGCGTGGAGCAGTTGGAGGAGAACAAATGGTAGGACAGAGGCTCTAGAACAACTTCTCGGGTTTCCCCTCCACTTCCACTTTCGACCACTCCAACTCCACCCCCAACTTCAATGACGGCTTCAGCCCCCACGGCTTCAACCATCACTTCTTCGATCCCTCCTTCGATTCTTCGATCACTAACCCGAGGACTGGAATTTAGACGAGCACGGGATCTCCCTTGGGTGTGGGGACCAGTGGAAGAGTAATGGCCCCTACTCAGGCTTCATCAACAGAATGTAAATAGAGCCATACATACATCAAATCTCCGGAGGATCGGGAATGGGTCTCAGTTCTTGAGGCTATCTCTGCGGCCGGCCGTGAAACCTCCCCCCTGATCGTTTTCAAGGAAAAACGGTCCAATCTTCGTGGTTTCCACCACAGGAGAAAGATTTACCATATTGAAATTATACAGGCTCTGAAAATGCCTGGACTTCTACCGAAATCGGTCTCCAATGGCTCGAAAAGAAGTTCTTACCGGAGATCAAGCCTCTGGACTCCTCCGCGGACGAATGGCGCCTTTAAATATGCGACGGGCACGGTTCTCACACCGGGGTAGAGTTTATGAAGTTGGCCAAAGAACACCGCGTGTTTCTGTTGTTTTTGCCCGCTCATATTTACTTCCCATCTCCTCCAGCCCCTGGATATTTCGTGTTTTTCACTTCTGAAGTCAAAATACCGTAAAGAACTGAGTCAATCGTCATCTCTTGATGACTCTGCGCCTGTAAAGAGGCATGAATTTAACTCCATATATTATAAATTACGAATTCAGGCTCTAAGTATACATAATAATACCCGTGCGGGATTCCGTGGAACGAGAATGGTTCCATTCAACCCTGAAAAAGTTCTGAACAGCACCCAATTGAACGAGAATCACCTAATTCAGCGTCCTAACCCCCGAGCCTACTTTCCTTACGTTTCACATGCCAAAAGGGCCTAAAGATGTATATCTCCAAAAATACAGTGGGATGGCGTGAGGGTTCAATGAGGATTATGAATAGCGGAGACGTTATCGAATTGCTAGAGAAATGAAGAAGAGGAAAATGGGAGGTCACGCGAGTGGGCGAGCATAGAGTGATATGGTCACGAGTAGTGGACGAGTAGGCGGCGAGTAGTTGATTGGTATTGATGTATGCGTGCCTCATGTACCGAGACTAATCCTTAAAGAAGAACAAAAAGAGTGTGAAGAGCTTGACTTGTGTCTTCACACTACCTCTCCCCTTGAAAAGGGCGGTCCCTCGCCCGTTGAAAACAAGGTATTCGTTTGATAATAGCCGAAGAGTAGTGGTGTGGTGATGCTGCCATATGGCCGTCCGGATGAGCTCGCGAAAACTCAAGAAAAACCCTTCGTGGGGAAAAGTACTGGGAATGAGAGCTCATCGGAGACGGAAATGGGTCGCCTTGTTGCCTGTGTATTCACGTGTACTTAGTGGAGAGTCACAAGTGAATCAATAGGTGATAACACCAAGTCGATGTTGCATGCGTTGCCTGCTGTGTAGGATATAAAGATCTCACTTCCGCTTTGAACTTCCTTTCCTTTTTCACTTTCAACAGCATCAAGATGTGAGTGCTGTATCAATCTCTGTTCGTTGATGGTTCAGGGGCTTATACAGCGCAAACCAGTTTTGCACAACACCAAGTTATCCATATCAACATGCATGCTGCGGACGAGTCTGGACTCCGACTCAACAGTGCCGGAGAGGTAGGTGGCTTCTCGCCTACGAGTAGTGAGGTACTCACGATCGGCAGTTGTTGGTTTGTCGCTGGTGTTGACAAGATCGCTCAGGGTCGAGTCTATACCAAGATGTCGAGAAAAGGAGACTCGGTGGATGTTCCTACAGGACTCGGCTGCGACTACCCGCTGAGTGGTGCACGAGCCAGCGCCGGGGCGATGACGAGTACTCCGATACCCGCTGAATCTACAGTTCTTGCAGATATTGCGAAGTCACTGCGGACGTTGGCTGCTGTTGGTGTGGCTTTTGCAAAGCACAAAAGTTTGGTGAGTACTCCCTCCTGACTTGTCTACGAGTACCCGACTAATCACCGGCAAGACGTGGAGTTGGACCCTACGGATCGCGGTGTTGAGTTGGACGATGCTAGGTTCTCTTCGGAACTTTCCGATGGTGTTAACCTTGGAAGAGAGGGGAATAACTCAGAAATAGGCGTATCCACCACTACTCTTACTGCCCCTTCTAATGGCACATTTTATACTACAGCATCTTGCGTTTGGCAGAAACGCAATGGAGAGCACGCTCTCCACAATCACCCGCACGACTGGCGGGATGGGGAGCCCCGCGGCGACCGTCCTAGCACCCATTTTCACGATGATTACCGCGATGTTCCTGGCGAGTTTGAAGCTGGAGAAAGAGGAGAGAGGGTTGAGGGTATGGAAGAGGGAGGAAGGAAGGGGGGAGGGATATGGAGAGGGAGAGGGAGAAAGAGAGAGAGAGAGAGAGAGAGTGAGTGAGCCCTTTTTCGCTCTCTCCAACTATCGCCGCCTTTTCAATATGGATTTTAGCAACATCCACACTCAGATAGTCATGTTGCGTGACAACGACACTGCTTTCAGCCATTTTGAGGATGTAGTTATGCTTGGCTAAAATCTAATGCGCAGTTCTGTCCGGTTAGCAACAGCTGCCCGTCCACAACATGCAGTGGATTCAGTGATACCCGCCAAGATTTCCCCAAGGACCATATACCAAACAACCGTGAGTCCATTGCCGACTTCCTTTGCAGGCGTCAGGCTTCATATCGAGCTTCCGAAGTCCAGAATGTAGGTACGGCTGCGGTCTGTCCCGAGAATGACAAAATTACTGCCCTTGAGTATTCTTCAACTAAAACAGAGGTCACCACACCTCCGTCGGCTCTCCCATTTTCCCTATCCAGAATCGAAAGCCCACCGCGTTCAAGAGCGAAGAGAGAAGAAGGGTATGGATTAAAAAGGACAATGGCTGCCAAATGTGCACATCAATGGGCGACCTTAGGTTCAGGAATGGGTAAATATCAATGATAGAAGTGGTCATTAATCTAAATTCAGCAGTGTGTGAGTGCCTGAGAGATTACCACAGAAGTAAGATGTCATAATCTGGGGTGGAAGAAATTGAACATTCTTCACCCTCAAAATCCTTCCCCACCCTCTGCAACAGGAGAATCATGTTACTTACCAAACTTAAGGAAGGGCGATTCAATATCTTTAGCAATGGAATATAAGGTGAGAATATCTCACGTTTGAGGGAATTTGACGCCGAAGGAATTCACTTCAAGGTCAATAATTCTCCCACTTTGGAAGCACGAATAAATTTTAATTGCCCTACTCTATTGATGGGCGCTAGGGGCTGGGGGTGTGATGAAGTAGAGTCTCTTCGGAGTCGCAAATATCCTCGATGGGCAATAATCACCTCGGCAATAGCCGCTCCGGGTGTTGAATTGATATGGGTTTTCGAAAGGGTTAACATACCTCTGCGGCCACTGGTTGCGGATCTGCTTGTGGTTCGAGGGACTGCTCTGATCGAGGTGGTTGCTAGGGCGTTGAGAGGTCGTGCTGTGGAATTGGGGCGGGATCGGGATCGGGATCGGAGGACGGGCCTGATCGATATGTCCACCAAGGCCCGGGTTGGCGCTCCCAAATTGAGGTGGGTTCGGTTCTGGTCAGATGCCATTGTGATTCCGCATCGGCGTCCGCAGGGTGGCTGTGGGCGCCGCCATGAAGGACCTCAGGCCCCGGAAGTAGGCGTCCCGGTCGAATTGCGGCCTAGAGAAGGGGTGAGGCGGCAGTAGCTCTCCGCTGTCCCAAACCAAATCTGGAGGAGATCCCAAGTAGCTTTGCAACCCCTGGGAATACTCGTCGGCATCTAAATCGGAACCCAGGGTCGGGAATAGTGGTAGATTCTCTCCCGTGGTGTTTGATGGGTGCCCGATTGCAAACCAGTCGAAAGACTGCGCGGTGGTTGGAGACACGATGCAGTCTCAAAACTTCTGCAGGAAGTTGATCGGGTTTTCTGTGCGGGCGGCGGAGGAGGTGGCGGGAGGAGCAGCGTTGATCTCGGCAGGGAAATGTTGGCTCCATTCGACCTGATGCCAATATTGAAAGTGATTGTCTGTGGTCAGGGCAAAAGGTGGTGCGGACGGGTTCAAAATGATATGGCCCAGGACAGATCTAGTGATGGTTGGTCGTATTGCTGGGATGTTTGTTGTTTGCCAAGGAAATTATGGCACAAAGGGAGTGACTGAAGGATTGAACTGCGGGCTTGCGCCTCCTGAGAGGGCCGCCCACACTCCAACGGTACCATCAACAACACCGGATTGAACTGCCGTTGGTGCAAGAGAATTTCCAATGGGATGCTCGGGCACCAGCGACCCAAAAGGATGTTCATAATGAGCGTCATGTGGCGCCCCTGTCGCATCTGGGGTGGTTGATGCCCCCCCAAGTGCCAACGGTAATCCTGACCCTAGTGTCCCTCGGTGAGGTTGCAACAAAGTTCTGCCAGTTGAATGTGTCACCCACAATCGCAGAGAAGGGAACAAGCCTGTTAGGAGAGTTGGGTGACTGTAGCGGACCTGGCATTGTTGTGACTGGCAGCCCACCTCTGACCAGGAGGAAGCCCTGGTCAATGGTCTCTTCAGGTGCAGGAGTTTCCTGTAAACCATGGCCTCATGCGGTTGTGTTATTTGATTCAGGGGGTGGCTGAGGTCAGGTTGAGTTCGAGGCGTTTTGGCCGTTGTCGTTCGCCGGATGCCAATACTCGAACGTCTCCGATCGTGTGCAACTCATTGTGCTCGCTCTTGGTGGCCTCTACAATATATATCTTTTGTCAGTCTACTATATAGATACGTGTTTGGTATGAAGTCTTGCCGTCCGTCAAATCTTTCATTGGTTTCCTTCGCTATTATCATCGCGTTCACATAGCTGCTTCCTTGTCCAGCATGATCTTCTTTCATGCATGCGGATTCCTATATGTCGATCAGATACATTTCGTGAAATAGTGTGACATTGCTACACTTACATCTCTGGAAGTAGTGGCGCTGTTGAACCTATATTTATGAGTCCTCCGCCTGCTCTAGGACCCTCAGCCCTCGTCGATTCAGTGCTGGCAGTGACTGTGGATATAACTGGCATGTGGATATTATATTCAGCAGCACGCTCTCGAGGCATAATTACCTCCGTATCATAGCAAATCATCTTTCTCCTTGAAACGGCATGTTGTTTGTGGACATGAACCAGACGAAGGGCAGAGAGGGAACTAGAACTTTGGGGGAGAGATGTCAAAATCAGCATGGGGAACAACACAGTTTATCTGCTTTGACTCAATCGGAACATCTGGGAAAACTTTTGCTCACGATGCTCGGAGTGGACTGGGATATCAATAGGTGAGAGTCAGCAAGGTGCTAATCAACTGCGTGTTAGGAGGAAGTGGATGGTCGAACGGAGTCGAGGATTGGAGGAAAAGGGGGAAGGGAGAAAGTGGAAGGTTGAAGCGAGTTGAGGACATGAGAGAAAGGCAATGGAAGGAAGAATCACAAGAAGAGGTCACCTCCATTGGAAGTTCACAAGGGAAGCAAACGGAAGAGAAGCAGGACAAGGACTTTCATATGACGATCAGGCAACGAGTATCAGGCAGCGACTTCTAACGACTAATAGAAACTCCCTCATGCTCGCTCCTCAAGGAGTCACACTGAATAGAAATGCTTCCAGTGCTAAGGCAATGGGGGGATGGGGACGACGGGGATGGCGATGACCGGGATGGCGACGACCGGGGTGGCGTTGACGACGGGGGTATGGACGACAATGGTTTGGCGATGATAAGGGACGGCTCTCAATAATCACAATGATCATAAAAGCTCCAAGATAATATCAATTAAAACCGCACTCATAAATTCATTTCTTTCAAAGGCATTTGATTGCCATCGAAGACGATGACGAGGGAGGCATGATCCTTATGACGGTGGCATTCGCCTGCAGAACTGGGTTCGAATGTGGGACTTGCTACTCTTATTAACTGAACCTCAGGAGGGACGGAAATCAGCAATGCTTATATGGTGGGTGGTCAGAATTCTAATAGGACAACTCTAATACAGTACTGATATTGGGTCTTCAGGTCTCCTTCACAGATTTTCACCTGAGAAACACATGGTGTGGCTCATTATTTCCCATTCAGCTCATTGGCACGTCTTGGAACGGCTGTCGGGATGCTGATTCAGTCTCGAAGTCCAAGTCCATTGACTCCTCATTTTCTACATCCGAATAGCTTCGCTTGCGTGGCTTCACAGGCGGTACTAAAGAAAGCTGGGGGGCTGTGTTGGATTTGACAATGCCTGATTGAAGCTGTGTTTCTGCGGAAAGGGCGTTGTGCGAGGCGACATCTCGTTGGGCCTGCTGCATGTCTGACCAGTTCTGAAGGGTGTGTCTGATGGTGTCATCGACAGAAATGCAGAACCTCTTTTTGCCGATGAGCTGCAAGGCGCTGACTTCATCAATCCCTAGAAACATCTCGATCATGTATGCTGCAACGATGGCTGCCGACTTCTCGTTGCCGGATTCACAGAAAACGAGGACCTTCCCCCAATGTTGCGCGGAGGGTACTTGTGCTAAGAGCCGGGAGATGTGTTCATTGATGAGGGCAGTGGCCTGCCCAAACATATGAGAGGTGGTTGCATTGCTCTCCACGCCAAGGCATTTGATCTCGATTCCCACCTCTCTTGCCAATCGCGTAGCGGATTCTGCAATTGGTAGTGATTGGTTCTGCACTACCCCCAAGACCATGGTGATGCCCTCTTTTTCGAGATATTGCAGATCTTTGACCACATTTTGAGGACCCAGGTACACTCTCGGAAGGATCTGCTGCGCTTTCCATCGGCATGACCGGTCCCAGTCGTAGGCGTGTTTAAAATCCAGTGTCAATGGCATGTCCATCATCCCGAGGTTTATCGCTTTGCTGCTGTACCGCAATGAGGATGGAGAAAAGTTCGAGGGTCTGATATTGACTTGGTTGTACTGAGGCCCAACAAGAGGGGGAACGATGATCGGAGGAGGGTGAGGCACTGTGTAGGTGTACCTCTCCATAGGTGCGGTCGGCGCCATCCCGTAAAGCCAGTGTATGGGATGACTAGGGGATTGTAGATAAGGCGGAAGTCAGATAGCGTTGCCGTGAAGAGTAGTTTAGGGCAGAGGCTTGCTGACAGAAAGATGAATGGGTGACAGTGTGGACACACTTTAATAGATGATGAATGAACCGCACACGAGGCGGAAAATGTGGTTGATGTTATATCCTGGGCCTCTACCACATTCAACAGGTTTCAAGGATGCAGAAATGAAACCTTGGAAGTGGGCGTGAAATAGAGTTGATAATCTATCAGGCAGAAGGTTGGCTTTATTCACTGGCATCTCCATCGGTCGAGCCATCTACTTGGGACACATGTTGGCGGCAAAGGCCCCAATCTTTCTATCACGTGCTGTAGTTCATAGTAACACTTGAGGAACTCTAATGGGAATTCTTTGGTAATCCCTCAAGATGAATGTAATCTGCAGCACTGAACTATGGAGCGAAGTGAATTATTCCCCAACTGACATAGCTTACGCGACGCACGGATTTTAGGTAGTTGAATTACGGTATGGGCCAAGAGTTTGTTTTGCACGTGACATGATTTATCAGCCGCTTCTTGGATGAAGCAGCCAAGCGAACCTTCAACACTCAAACATGAATTTGTGCATCTAACCGGCTCAGGAATCTCATTTGCAAAGGAGTCTCAGGGTAAATCGATACAGCGAGAATATAGATGCCGGGCACTATGCTCTCAAGTGGGACGCACTACTGTGAGCCTAAACAGATGACACCGCTTGCTGGAAGTCAGAGAGCAGATGTACAGCCTACAGAAGATGTTGCTAAAATCGAACTCTTCTCTTCCTACCAACGTAAGCCAATGAATGATCCAGAGGCTGCCTTATCAAATTTCTTAATAACATGAGTTTCCGTCGCTTGGGTTCTTCATGGTGACAGTTGTGGTCAAGATAAGGTTCGGCGCAAGGTGGGTACTTGAAGTTTATCCTGACTGTACCTAGTACGAGCAAGAGTCAGGGGTATGGTAAGGGGCTCACCGATTTGAGCGACCGAAATCATTTGCAGTTCACCTTCAACGAAGGTACATATCAATTCATTCTTACAATATGTTTGATATATTGCCCGATTTCAATTTCGAGAATGTATGCGCCAGATGTCTAAACCAAAGCCGTCAAATGGGGAAAAAAGGCAGTATTCCATTTCAAAGTCACCAGCCAGCCATTCCAATTAAACCTGTGGCAAACAGTACAACTCAAACCTTATTATGAGGAAGATCAAGAATGGTCAATATACTCTAGCAGCAATGATAGACTGGGAGTTAACAGGGTTCTGCCCTTTCGAGTACGAATACTCCTAATATGATGTGTCTCCGGGCGTCTCCGACCTGGACTATTCGTTTTACGAGCGATCTACGAACCACTAAAGAGTAGTGAAAGTCACGGAACCGGAGGAGGTAAGCATCATCGACGCCATGCACATCATATTCGAGGCCTGTGCTGGATCCAGGCCAGGAAATTGGTGGATGGGAATGAGGAGAAGTTTCGAGAAGGGGGCAACATTTCGTATCCTCCTAATGTCACTGGGGGCACATGGCGATATCCCTCGGATGTAGGGGAATCCCAGGGTTTACGAAAGAGGATAACGAGAAGCTGGAGGTGGGCGTCTTGGCAGAGATCGGCAAAATTTAACCCGGGCATGTTTTGTAGCGAAGACATACAGTTTGCAAATGCAGGAATCTCCGTGGATTTGAAGATATCGCTAATAGCTATATGGTTCGATCATCTCGATATGTGCACTTTAAAAATTCTGCCAGCCTCGTCACCTTTATGTAGGAATGGATGCATGCTTATAGTCAACAATATTTCATGGCCGCCGAAGGGGGTGGCAATAAATATCAACGGTTTTAATGGCTAGGTGGCTCACTTATGTACAGCGACTAAGTTAGTCCAAGAGCGAGCTATATGGGTTAGAATTGCCTCCGCTACCATTAAAATCTCATCGTCCTGTCTGTGCTTTCTCTAAGGTTTCAAATAGCCGTTCCTAGCAGAACCAGTATTGTGATCATGGTTAGCCTTCTCACCACACACATAAGTCCCTCCAGATAGTCCCATAAATTTTCCGCAACTGAGGCATTTGGAAGGATTCACCACCTCCCCATTGGCAATAACATTACTCTGCTTTGGAGGGAGGGGGTTTCCTTTTGAAGGTGGTTGCGCCATACTTAAGACATATGGTAGAAGTTGATGGGTTGGTTGTAAAGCAGTCCAAGATATTGGTTCGAATATGAGGGAGCACTTTTTCTGACCTTGGAGTTGCGTAGAGTGAAGTTTAAGGAAGCATTTATATGCTCTGTAGGCAGCCTTATCTAGCGCATTACATCGACAAGGGGAGTCAAGTTCCTCGCCCACTGACTCAGTCCCTTGGAAACGATGAGTCGCCGGGGTGAAGTAATAACTATAGAATTTAACTAAGAACCCATCGAATTACATCGTTGAAAAGTCCAGCCCAATGAAGTGAAGGACCCGGAGTCTTCATAGGGCCATGATTGACACACCTTGGGCAATCCATATTGCGCCTCGGCCACTGACATGACTGGTTGGAGTGGATCAAAAGCAAAGTTAGGGTCATTTGATCCTGCGGCATGGTCATTTCTACAACAGAAGAAACGATGTTCAACCTCGCGGTAGTCAGGCGCTACGTTCAATTGGCTGAAATATCCACTCGCTTGCGTCTCGGCTTGCACGTCTTCGTTTCCGATAATTCCGAAACTTGGCGTCTGCTTCTTACGTGCCCGAGAAGATTTGACGGAGATCCCCAGCTATTTTGACGACCAGCAACGCTCTCATACACACTTGAAACTCCCTCCCCGCTCATTCATTGGCCTGGTAAGATCTACATCAAACTATGGCCCCGAGCGCTTCTTTTCTCAATGACTACGTCCTCGAAGTGGCGTTTGGGGGGAAGGAAGACGACTCGATACACACACTTACAGATTACTTGGACATATGTCTCTATCGCGTCTGAGTCATGGGTTCTTCTTAGGACCCCATCCTTCATCTATACACGCACCGCGGTATTCTTTTACAGACCGTTACCAGGTATCAAGAATTGGCACATGCTTTAGTCCCTTCGGTGGTCCCCTAACTCACGAATGGCCCCACTCTGATGAAAGATTCGAGTGGAAACGAGGTTTGGTATACAACCTCAGCCTTGGAACACGGAATTGTTCTAGACGAGATCTGGAATCAACTGGATTCCAGCCAACGGGCAATCATCATGGTACAAGTTGTTGAGATTTTGAAGAAATTCCAAACAAATTAACTTGAAAGATCCTGAAATTAAAGATTTTTCTCCGGGACACAATTTACACGAATCCTAGGCTCATCATGCCAGGAGTTACTCTGCCGAGAGGAGCTTTACCCTTTGGAAGCCCCCGTTTCAGTATTATATCTTCTCTCGACGTACACGACTTTCTCAAGTGCCGAGTTACATTTCAAACACTAGCAAACTGCTTGACCCCACAAACTTTCGGTGTGTGAAGCTGGAATCAAGGTAACAAGGTTACAGAGCGTGCTTCAGGGACACGCACGATTGTCTTCAAGGATGCGGACATGCGCCATGATTCTGCGCTTTCGAAGTCGACTGTCTTCTGTAACAAACTCCTCATTCCGCAAAATATGGTTGTGAGACAGACCACAAATGGACATTAGAAGCTGATCGGAATCCTGAACTGGGGGGGAAATCTGGTTTCTTCTCCTCTGCCTACGAGCTTGTCAAGCGGAAAAGCCTAACTACTGGGAAATCCCAACCTATACTTCAGCTGGTGTGAACAATTCGTGAACCAGACGACACCTTTGATGCAGGAGACACCCTCCGCCCGGGCCCTCATGCAAGTTGACGCCATCGTTGATCAGAACAATCACGACACGATCAGAAACCGCAGACTGTTCGAGCTCAGAAAGAAAATGTGGGAATGGGAGAAGCTGTCGACGGTTCCGGGCAAGGGGATCATCCATCATCGACGACCCGACGTGGGCCAGCTCAAAAAATTATCGGAGAACGACAAGCTTGAGGCGGATGTATGCACAATGGTAGACTAAGATGAAGGGATTAAGACTCTAGTCACCAATACTGCCGGATCAAAAAATACTTTGTAGAATGCACTCTTCTCACAACAGACTTAACCATGCCATACAGGCCGTGAACCATCAAATACAATTTTCAAATTAATACTGAACTCCGAAAGGCCTGTGTATCGCTAACACAATCCATCCATCTCTAGGCCCACGCGGTTCTCCCTAGTACCCCATGCCAGAAAACAATATTCCCAGCTACAATACAAACAATAAGCTTTTGAACACCCATCCGCCCAACTCCATCCCGGCAACGATCTAAACCCTTCTGCCTTCGCGCCAACAATCCGTGATCAAGGCTTCTGCCTCCTCGCCAGACAACACGCGATCAAGCCTTGTGCCTCCTCGCCAAATAATACGTAATCAGGTTCAGATGCTGCTCCCTCGCCCCCCCAACCACCTTCCAAAATTCCTCCGCGTCCCCCTTCCCAGCCCCACTGCTCTGCCCCAACCGCTCATGCAATTCAAGACAGAACTCCAGATCCGCGCGCCGCACGTCCGGATCCGTCGAGTTAAGCAACCGGAGCGCAAGTCTGCCAAGTCGCTGGGTATCGGTGGCGCCGACGCCGAGCGCGCTGCTGGGCGCGGGGCTGCGGTTGCCTTGCGCGACGCGGAGGAGTTGCCCGAGGACGCTGAGGCCGAGGACGACGACGCGGGCGTCGCCGATGGGGTCCTCTAATGAGGCGCTCGGGCTCTCGTCGAGGGCGTCGGTTCCAGGCGCCATCCCAATCGCCACCGCTTCCATGACCTCTAATAGGGCGGTGAGGCACTCTTGAACCGGCCCCATCCGCACCACCTCCTCGGCTGCCCGCTCCAACTCCGCGGCAACGTGTTCGGTGCCTTCATATTCTCTCCTCGCCTGCACGAGCGAGCGTAATGTCGCGCCCCACAGCGCCGGGGCCATCTCCCTCCGCCGCAGCGCGAGCATCGCGCGGATGGTGACCAGGACCTGCGCCTTGAGACTCTGGGCCTTCTGCGGCACGAGTTTGAGCTCGGAGGACGGCGCCTCGAGGTAGTCGAGGAGAGCGGTGAGCAGGTCGGCGAACCGGGATGAAGGTTGCGGTTGTTGGTCGGTGGTGGAGTACGAATCCGAGGCGAAAATGTCGAGGGTGGTGGAGCCGCGGACGAGGTCTTGCACGCGGCGGAGGCCGTGCGCGTCGAGTGTGCGGGCGCGGATACGCTCAATGCCGCTGGTGAGGAGGCGACGGTTGCGTTGGTAGGAGGCGCGGTCTTGGGGGGAGAGGTTTTCGAGGTCGAGGGGAACGGGAGCGGGGGCGGGGTTGCTGGGGGGTTTGTGGGGGGAGGTGAGGTAGGAGCTGGTGCTGTGGCTGGATGTGGAGTGGGCGCTGGAGAGGTCGCGGCTGTAGGTGTTGGGTTGCTCGTTGGCGGGGACTTCTTCGAGGACGGGTTTCTGGGGGGAGGATGATGATGGGATAGCGGTTGAGTCGTAGGCTACGAAGGGGTCTTCGTAAACTTTGACTTCGTCTTCGTCGATCATCTCGGAACCAGCCATAGCGCCGACTCTTGTTCGTTCAGGTGACCGCCGGGTCGGTGAAATCGCCCTTGACCGGACAGGGATTTCGCTCAGAATGTGGGGAGACATTCTGGGTGTCTCCGATCGTTGAAGACTCATTCGAGGAGCGGGAGAGGCACGGGTGATCGAATTGAGATCCGGGACAACCATGGTGAAGCCATCATCTTCGTTCAGGCTGGCAATACCCATATCAACGGACATAGTCTTGTCAAGCGCTGCCCGCTTCCGCGGCGGCCAGCTGGGAGCATGTTCTCCATCTGCCCCTCCTGGCAACACCATCGTCAAGCTCTCATCCTTGGACGGTGTGCTAGTTGGACTACTTAGCATGGATTGGTCAGTGGCCACGTTTTTCCTCGTCGCGGTATGTCCAAGGGCGTTCCTGGTCCTTGTTGGACTTCCATGGGTTTGTGCAAGGCGTGCAGGTGTCTTCACAGTGGCTCTACTTGGCACGGACTTCTTGACCGTATCTCTGGCTGGGCTATTGTTGGGACTGATAACAGGAGTGCTAGCCTTAACTGCTTTGCGGGATGCGTTTCGGGATGCATACGGATCAGCAGTAGCAGGTCGAGGTAGTTCTGGTCGCCGTGGTCGCCGGACCGGACCTGCCTTAAGGCCAGCGTTGGATGTTGCCGATGCGCCAACAGCGGACCTTGCAGCGGATACCGATACCGAGGGATTTTTCGCCGTTCTTGAGGCGGTGGTCGCTGGGGTATGACTCGTTGATGTGCTTGGTGCCTGTCTTGCGGGAGTAAACGCAGCTTGAGCAGATATGGGTCGGTCTGGTAGCTTCTTGGTAGCCAATAGTGCGGCCCTCCGCTGTGCTGCGATGGTGTCTCGTAACGTTGATCTTGATGTGGCCGTTGGCGGCCGCGAAGTCGCAGGTCCAGCAGCACTGCTGAATGAAGCTGACAACGACGCATTAGGATTGGCAGAAGCATTCTCAAGCGCCAGACGATCCTTTGGTAATAGATTCGACATGATCCTAAGAAAGTTAGTGATTGTACTAATCATGGCAGCGGGACACGTACGCTTCGGCTTTCTGAGGCCAAGTCTTCGCAAATATCCAGTAAACACCTCGTGTACCCTCCCGGACCTTGGGATTTTGATCTGCAAGTCCCTTCTTGATGCACTTCTCGGTAAGATCCAATCCACCGGAATGTTCGAAATGGGTCCGGTGCGGAGAGTGCTTATTGATCAACGTCTTCAACCACCCCGGAGCACACGCTCGTGTTGAGGCGTTCTTATCTTGGAAGGCGGACCAGACATGCTGCATCAAACGCAAATTGTAGGAGACGTTCTGAAAAATGGCATCCGCCGTCGCGTCCCCGTTCGTCGCGCTGATCTTCTTCGTATTCGCTGTCATCTTGGTGAAGGATTGCAAGAGGATCTCGGTCATGGAGTCCATCCCGGGACCTAGCAGCTTCACTAGTTCTTGTACCACCAGGCAACCGTTGGTCGACGTAGTGGTCCGCAAGGAGTTGGCAACCTTCAATATGCCGTCGAGAAGACTTTTGATGCCCACTACGAATGCGCCATGGAAATCGGAAGGTGCATTGCCCTTGGCAAGACGTCGTATCTTGGTGACGTTCTTATCTCTAGCAATCCAGTTGTGCTCCGACTCCCTCCCTTCGAAATCCGGTAGCATGTTCCGGAAGTTGTCCTCTAAATCGCGCTGCGTATGAACATATATTGGGTCCATAGGAACGACTTCGACTGCTGGTGGGGGTTCCAATGCAAGGCTGTCGCCTAATGTTGAGTCGGATGGCTTTCGATCCAGTGCCCGAGCATGGAGCGACATGGTGGATGCTTTGAGTTCGGGTTCGGGAGCGTGGTGCGCGGAGTCGAATTGGGAGCTAATGTAGGAAACGATGGTCTTTCGGACACCATGGGAATTCATTTGTTTTTGGAGGTCCCCTTTGGCATGCTCTGGGGCAGATCTGGTGGAAAGTTAGCACTGTGTCGAGTGAGGTCGTTAACAGGGGCTTACCGGAAGAGTTCGATGATAGCAGATTTGGCGGACTCGCGAACTTGGCCGTCTGCGTCTTCTAATGCTGTGACAAGATATGGGACATAAGCCCGGAACGGTAGCCCTTCTGTTTTGTTCATCTACAACCACATTAGCGGAGGACTGATAAAGGGTCCCGATTGCCTCACCTTAACTACCCACTGCATCGCCGTCTCCTTCGCTCTCGCATTGTTTCCTTGTAGCGCATTGGCCTTTATGACGTGCTCCACGTCCGCATGATCGTACGGCCATATATCCGCGAGCGTCTGGGACGCGGCGGCGCGGTGACTTTCACGCGCATCTCCAAGCCGTTCCAGCAGCAACGGGAACAGCTTATTTGCCTGCGCGGCAATTGTATTATCCTGGTCTTGCAGATGAAGCCTCTTGATCAAATGGCCGAGAGACGCGAAGCCCGTGGACACCAGCTGGGGGGATGTGTTGGAGCCGATTGCAATGCGGATGCATTCGAATATGGTAGCCTGCGCGGGTTCGGGGACTCGCAGGTGTTTGATGTCGGACTTGAGCTTGTTGAAGAGGGTGGCTTTCTGTTCCACGGAGATGGTGGACTTCTTCAGCGCAGTGAGAAGCGCGGCCGCTTGGTCTTCCATTGTGACGAGCTTGCGGGGTAAACCGTAGATTGTTGACCTGGTGAGTCTTGCGGTGGTTATGTTTTCCCTTCGGTTCCAGACTCAGTTGAGTTGATGTTGTTGTATGACAGGAGATGTGTTGATGCCTTGTCGCCTTGTCGCCTTGAGGGATTTGCTGTTGCATTTGTTATTTTGTATTTTTGTAATTTTGTTTACAAGGATCGTGCACGGACTTCCTCCAGTCGTCAATTCTCAAATTCGACGTCACTCCTCGATTTGGCATTTGATGAAACGATGCAAGGAGCACTCCGCAACCATGTGCAATAACCATGTGCAAATCAATAATATCCGGAATATCTTATTGGTATATTGAATACTCTAACGAAATGGGGTTTAAGGCGAGTTTTTTGGGCTATGGCGATATATCTAGGCACCGCGGGTTGGATCGCGAGATCCTCGTTAATGACCTCGACGCGTCTCCGACCCATATCTTCGTGTCACCTTCGTGTCACCTTACGCAGTGGAACTATTATCGTGACGCCTTCGGGTAGTATTGGACTGAAATGGGGTTGTACCAAAGCAAAAAAGTTGCTCGTGGCTATTCCTTTAATCAAACCCACGATTACCCGCAACGCACCTTGAGTCCAGCTCCAGGTCAAGTGTCAGGAATCACAAACATAATCGCGATACCCATGATATTCTCCAGCGCTCCATCCATTCCCCTCTCGGGTTCATACAGCCCATAGTCATACGTCGCCTTGATCTCCCATTTCTGCCCTTTCGCCAACTCCCTCTCAATTAGATCGGTGCCGATTATCGGCGACATCCCACTGAGATGTGTGGTCTGGTTAGAGCCGTGGCCGTGGCCCGTCTCCCCGCGATTGGGATCGTGGTCCGGCACGGCAACGGTGTACTCGGTATACGACGCGTTGGAAACTCCTATCGACCGCCCGTCGACGGATACGATGACCGACGTGCCACCGTCATGGAGATGGCCGCCGAAGCCGATGATTTCGGCGTCAAAGTCGGGTGTCCATGGGGGAGAGGTGATTTCGAAAGAGTCGGAGTCACGAGGAGATGGGAGCTAGGTCCAGGTATCAGTCCATAGACGGCCTCGCGATGATAGGAACACCACGACATACCTCACTCGTCCCACACTTCACAATATCGAACCAAATCGGCCTCACATCCGCATACCCCTCCGGATCCCCCTCGACATAATCATACGTCACCGTCAAATACACCACCTTATCCTCCATATTCTCATTCATAAAGTCCACGATCACCGCCATCTGATCCTCCTCCCGCAGCCGATACCCTGCGATCCGACTCGCCCCGTAGAACGCCGCCAACGTCTTCTCGTTCCCGCTCGAGAAGAACCGTTCCGCATTCCTCGGCGTCTCCCCAATGATCTTGTGCGGAAGACTCACCTCCTCGCCCCCGCACGTCGCGTCCGTTCGCCCCTCTCCGACCACGAAATGCACGTAGTGGTGCAGCCACATGCCATTCGTCACATTAGCAGACGACCCGTCCGCGTATTCGAGGTCCGCGTTCACCCCGACGATGCGGCAGTCATCGCACGGCTTGTCGATATTGAGGTCCGGGTAGTTGTACAGCATTCCACCGTGGCCGCCGAAGTTGCCGGTTTCCGTCATGTTAGGCACGTTGTAAGGCCCGTAGCGGAGCTTGACGGTTTTGGAGTTGGGGTGCCAGAATTCGATGCGGGGGGTAAGGGGTTGCCGGCGGGGGGCGGCGTTGGGTGGGTCGGGGACTTTGCCAGCGTGGGGAGCTGGGGGTGTTAGATTTACGGGTTTGAGGTCCACGGTGGTGAAGGATGCCTACGGTTCAAGAGGGTAGCGATATCAGCGCCGTCGGCATGCTGGGCTAGAAGTTTATCGATAGTGGATTTCCCCTGTCCCCCTGGGAGTGCGCCCATAACATAGTCGTTATCTGGGGCAGTATCGTTGCCAGACGAGGGACTGACTGCTTGTCTTCGGTTGAATCGGTGGGACACTGGTTCCGGCTCAGTTCTACCCGTATACGCAGCACACGAGCCGAGCGCCGACCAGAAAGCCAAGGAAACGAGACTGATGCTCTTCATTTTATGGACACTGTTTGAATGAAGTAGAGATCAGAACGGATGGATGAATGGGGCGTCGGAACTTTTCTAACTGAAGAGGAGTCGAAAGGAAAGACATCCGACTTCTGGATGACAAATTCCGTGAGAACTTCTCTCTTGGTAAAATTATATAAGGTAGGCGATCGAAACGAACCATCTACATGGCAATATAATCCATGACGACTACCATAATTCATTCATGACGACTGGAACCACTGGCGTGTACCAACACGACCACCGGCTCCGAGCCAATTCGCCTCGGAAGCGACGAAACATGTGAACCACGACCGCCAACGAACCTCCCAAATGAATTCCGAGAGTACATCTGCGAAGCTGGGTGGCTTTGATTACATCGTATAAAACGGGCCATACGGACGGAATTGCCCTATTTGATATGCGTCTGAACCGGACCCCGGCCAAGAATCCCGATCGACGAACCGCAACGGATCTTCACGAGGCGATCGAGATGCCGGTTGGACGCCGGGTAAATTGGGGACTCTGGGGGTCGTTAGCATTGGGGTTGGGGATATTGATGCGTAATATGCGCCTACAGAAACCTGGGGTGACGCCGGGAATGGGCGTCTGGAGTTAATTAACCTGCTACGGACCATTCCGCGGGGACGGCATGCGATCGGTGGACTTCCATCCGGATTTCGAAAATGTTGCCGAATTCTTATAGCTGGAAACCGCTTTGCGGCAATTACGAAGATAGTTATCTTTAGGGCACTCGAATGGGGTTCGGCGCGTTGGTCACGCCAGGCTTCTGATCGCTTCTAGGACGTTTCGCAGCTCCGACAGACAAGCTCGAAATCCTCACGACCTACAGCTTTGTTAGGTCGATTCCATCGAATCCAGGCCGGCCGAACGGGGGATGTATCCGTGTATTAAGTAGTAAAATTACAGTCTATCGTACAATCGCACGTTCATCATGACGGGCTATTCTTCTCCTCTCTCGCCTCCGCCCTCGCTTCCCCTTTTCTCCTCGGATCCTCCGCCTCCTCCACCTCCTTCGCCTTGATGTCACGTTCCACCTGGTCAACCGCCCGCTCGATCTCTACCTCCATGTTCGGAAGCTTCAGCTGGTCGGCGAGGAGCTTCCCGTTCCAGCGCCGGAGGAGCATGACTTCTTTGGCGTCCGGTTGCTTCTCAGCGTCTATGTTGTCGGCGAGCTTGGCAGTTTGATCGGGGGTGGGGGTGGGTGCGGCGCGGGATTTGAAGGGGGATCTGTGCATGAGGCCGGCGGTATACATCTGGTCAAGGATGGGGGATGGGTGGTATTTCAGGAGGTCGTTCTTGAGGAGGAACTCGAGGTGTTTGGAACCAGACCAAGCTGCAAGTGTTAGGAGTGGTCAAGTGACGATATAGCACGGATGACTCACCTCTCCAATGTGACCATGCACGGAACGCGAGGTAGAAGAATGGGAAATTCGGTATTCTGCCGCCTCGTCAGTAACTGGACACCCACCCCACGGAACGACTTACATGGGAATCAGGGCAAACGGCGCAGCCAACGGCATCCCACCAAAACTCCACCACATCTTCCCCCGGTGCAACCCCTGCCTCTCAGTCGCAATCCTCTCCAAAATCCACGGCGCATGCCCCTCCTCCAAAAACGCCCCGGGATACAGCACCTCAACCCGTCTCCTACCCCCCTTCAAATCCCCCTTCCGCTTCGCCAGCGGCGGAACCGTCTTCAGCCCCCATTCCTCGAACGGGATGCGGTTTAGCAGGATGCTGCCGTAATGTGTGACGGACTTCTTCCAGCCTTTGTCGGTGCGCTCCCAGTTGGTCCAGGTGGTGGAGGCTTTGTCGACGGCGCGGTCGACGAGAGATTTTTGGCGGGCTTCGTGTACGGAGAGACGCTCGCAGTAGATTAGGGTGCGGCGCGTGGAGATGGGGAGGAGGTAGATACGCATTGCGCTGTTCGACGGGATGAGATGGGAGAGTTAGAGGATCGTAGTTCGTGGGGGATTGGTGGCGTCGATGGGGTTCATGGTTGCGGTTTCAGGGGGTGGAAGCCATTGCGAATCGTACAGCTCATGCTAGAACAACGGAAATGTTGGTGGGAAGCACTGTCGAATTATCCTGAAGTTGTCGTATCGCCGAAAACGTCATCAGGAACATTTCCATAGCTGCTGGTCCGAGCGCCTCTCGCAGGTTTTAGTGATTTAGTCTGGAGCTGCACGTGGTGGCTGGTGATAATACGAGCTAGACCACTCACCCTGAGGAGTGAGGCAGGATAACGATGTTATTATGCGGTTCATAAACAATGCAGTTCATTATGTCGGGAATATATTTGCTTAAAACATCAGTTTTGTCCTTCATCGCCATATATCCCACCGAAACCACTCTCACTGCCTCCTTTTCCTAATCACTCCCCGTTCCGGTGAACGCATGCGACCCCCGGCTTGACCGATGAGCAACGCACAATAACACCCCCTCTGATAACTTCTATCACGACTTCAAGATATGTTCGGTGGCACGGTGGGCGGAAATACCGGGAATCCCCGTCCCCGTGGATCCCTATCGCGCTCTTCACACTCTCGATCCCCCGACCCAACCCGGAAACAGCAGTCTCCACCACCGACACAGAGCGACCTGGGGAGGATGGTCGGTGACGATGGAAACGAGAGAAGAAACAGCAGAGCCAGCCCGATTTCGGACCGGAACCCCGAATCCCGGCGCAATCCTACAACAAGACAGATCAAGGAGAAGCAGCGGCTAATACGAACTCTTCCTCGTAAGTCATCCGACTCCCAGCGTCACGATAGGCACTAATCCCGTCCCTCAGCATGGGTCCACACCCCCGACGACGACGACATCTTCTCCGAACCCACCGACCGCCTCCTCCCTAAGATCCCGCACAACGCCCTCGCCGCCTCCCACAACCACACTCCCACCCCCAAAGCCAACGCCGTCCCCGGCCGGCAATATGACCACGAGCGCGAGCGCGTCACGGTGGCGCCGAGGCAGCCGGTGAGCGAGAGCGCGTTGCGGTGGAAGCGCTTCGTGCGGGCGTCCGCGCCGCACCATCGGGGGGTCTCCTGGGACGACTCGGAGGTGGTGGATGCGGAGTGGATGGAGGAGAACTTTCCGGACTTGGAGCAGCCGTGGAATCCGGAGAAGGAAGAGAGTGAGGAGGAGAAGGATCCGCGGTACTGGTTGTTCAGTCCAAATAAGCGGAAGCAGCGGATGTCGGATATACAGGTATGCATGGTTCCATTTTTATTGATCTTCATTTTTGCGTTGGGCGCGCCGCTCGTGGGATGGTGACATGCTAACGTATATATCTGCCAGCGAGTCTTCATGCGCAACCCCATCATTCCCCTTATCATCCGCCTCACCGTCCTCACCTTCTCCACCCTCGCTCTCGGCCTCGCAGGTTCCATCTACCAACTTGCCTCCACCACCGGCTGCGAGAAAGGCTCCTCCACCTGGCTCGCGCTTATCCTCGACGCCTGCGCCATCGTCTACACCGTCGGGATTACCTACGACGAGTACAGCAGCAAGCCGCTCGGGCTGCGGTCGCACCGGGCGAAGATGCGGCTGCTGTTTCTGGATCTGTTTTTCATTGTGTTCGATTCGGCGAATATTAGTCTGGCGTTCGCGGCGCTGACGGATCGCCAGTGGGCGTGTAAGGAGGGGATGAGGGGGGATCTGAGCTCGTTGAGGTGTCCATCGAATGGGCAGATCTGCGCGAGGCAGAAGGCGTTGACGGCGGTGTTGCTGGTGGCGCTGGTGGCTTGGTTATCGACGTTTGCGATTAGCACGTTAAGGTATGTCTCTTTGAATATTTATGGTTATATTATGCTAACGTCTTCGGATAGGGTACTTGATCGGGTTGTAGATAGATAATATCAAATTTACTGTATAATGATGATGCCTTGCTATCCCTTGCTACCGAAGTGGAATGATACAAGATTGAGACGGTGGATAATTGTGCTTATCGCCCGAGTTATTGACGTTCACCATGGCCACAAGCAAAATATGGGATTCTTGTGAGTACTGTATACATCAGGATATTTCCGCACGCAGTCCTCCAATCACGATGGAGTGATGATCGTAATATGCACGGGTAGATGTGGATGAGGATATCGCTGGTGATTACTTATTCTGGCAAATAAAATACGCCGTCGGCGCTAGCGTATCAGTGGCGTATTGAATTTCTGCATATTATTGGCTAATTGACGATTACGAAATCGTTGTGGGATACGTGCACACACACAATCGCCGCACTGTAAACCATCCGCTGACGATATCAAGTCCAATATTGAAGAAGAGTCATCCACGAGTGGCCATAGAGGCATAGAGATAGCATCTAGAGCGAATGTGACTTATAAATCGATGGTGAATGCGAATAGCCTAGTGACATCGCTCGTAAATTGCCCCCCGCTGCGCAGCGCTTAGCGAACCTCGATCGTAAATCCGAAGCAAGCTTGCCCCACCAACCGCTTCGAAATCCACACAACGACGGAATCCATCGAACCTCACCACCCACCTCATCCTCCAAAACTTTTCCCTTTCACCTCAGCCCATCCCCCACCTCTTCCCTTCTTCTTTCTCACCCACACATCTCGAATCCGTCCTGGGAATTCTGTCGAACTGCACACGCAGATCGTCACTTGTCCTTGACTTAGATTCTTTGGCTTTATCAGGACCGCAAAAATCCTCGGACAGAAGCGGGGTACAAACATCCATCATCAAGAAACACTCAGGAAATCGTTAATCGAAGACCGCAATCATGGTGAAGTAAGTCCATCCGATCCATTATTGGCATTTGTCTGCTTTTCCGTGCATCCGATGCGCATGGATGTCTATATATGCCGTGTAGCAGCATCGGGTATAATGTGGAGTGAGCGCTAACGATATGTCTACAGCTTCACTATCGAAGAGGTACCAATATTTGCCAAGCAACGTCAGGCAAGAATGTATACTCACAGCTCATTAGATCCGTGGGCTCATGGACACGCCCGAGAATATCCGCAACATGTCGGTTATTGCTCACGGTAAGTGATGGCACCCCCCCACCGGCCACACAATGCTAATCATCACACAGTCGACCACGGCAAGTCCACCCTCACCGACTCGCTTGTCCAGCACGCCGGTATCATCTCCGCCTCCAAAGCTGGTGAGGCCCGATACACCGATACCCGTCCCGATGAGCAGGAGCGTGGTGTGACCATCAAGTCCACGGCCATCTCCCTGTACGGCACCCTCAAAGACGAGGAGGACATGAAGGATATTCCGGTCAAGGTCACCAAGAACGAGTTCTTGATCAACTTGATCGACTCTCCCGGTCACGTTGATTTCTCATCTGAGGTCACTGCCGCGCTCCGTGTCACTGATGGTGCGCTCGTCGTCGTCGACACTATCGAGGGTGTGTGCGTGCAGACTGAGACGGTGCTCCGACAGGCGCTTGGTGAACGTATCAAGCCCGTCGTCATCATCAACAAAGTCGATCGCGCCTTGCTCGAACTCCAGTTGGGCAAGGAGGACTTGTACCAGAATTTCTCCCGTGTCATCGAGTCAGTCAACGTCGTCATTGCGACGTACTATGACAAGGCTCTGGGTGATTGCCAGGTCTATCCTGACAAGGGTACCGTTGCTTTCGGATCCGGCCTTCACGGCTGGGCTTTCACCATCCGAAAGTTCGCGACCATGTATTCCAAGAAGTTCGGTGTGGACAAGCAGAAGATGATGGCTCGTCTTTGGGTAAGCGAACTTATATCCCTTGAATGTAACAACTAGAATTAACCTTTGGATAGGGCGACAACTTCTTCAACCCCAAAACCAAGAAGTGGACCAAGAGTAGTGAAGGTGGCCTCGAGCGATCTTTCAACACTTTCATCCTCGACCCCATCTTCCGCATCTTCGATGCTGTTGGCAAGAACAAGAGGGAGGATATCGCCAAGCTGGTGGAGAAGCTCGAAATCAAGCTCACCAGCGACGAGAAAGATCTCGAGGGCAAGGCCATCCTCAAGATCATCATGCGCAAGTTCCTTCCCGCCGCTGAGGCGCTCATGGAGATGTTGATCATCCATCTTCCGTCGCCGAAGGAGGCCCAGGCTTACCGTATGGAGACTCTCTACGAGGGTCCTCATGACGATGAGAGCGCCATCGGTATCCGTGACTGCGATCCCAAGGGTCCTCTCATGCTGTACGTCTCCAAGATGGTGCCGACCTCCGACAAGGGTCGATTCTATGCCTTCGGTCGTGTCTTCTCCGGTACCGTCCGCTCCGGTCTCAAGGTCCGCATCCAGGGACCCAACTACACTCCCGGCCGCAGGGAAGATTTGTTCATCAAGTCCATCCAGCGTACCGTGCTGATGATGGGTCGTCTCACCGAGCCCATCGAGGATTGCCCGGCCGGAAACATTCTGGGTCTGGTCGGTATCGATCAGTTCCTGCTCAAGTCGGGTACCCTCACCACCAGCGAGACGGCCCACAACCTGAAGGTCATGAAGTTCTCCGTCTCCCCCGTCGTTCGGCGCTCCGTCGAGGTCAAGAACGCCAACGATCTTCCCAAGCTCGTCGAAGGTCTCAAGCGTCTGTCCAAGTCCGATCCTTGCGTGTTGACCATGATCTCCGACACCGGCGAGCACATCGTCGCCGGTGCCGGTGAGCTCCATTTGGAAATTTGCTTGAAGGATCTCGAGGAGGACCACGCCGGTGTCCCTCTCCGTATCTCCGACCCAGTCGTGCAGTACCGTGAGACCGTCGCCTCCCTGTCAAGGATCACGGCCCTCTCCAAGTCCCCCAACAAGCACAATCGTCTGTACATGACCGCGCAGCCCCTCGACGAGGAGGTCTCCAAGGACATCGAGTCCGGCAAGATCGGACCGCGCGACGACTTCAAGGCGCGCGCACGCATCCTCGCCGACGACCACGGCTGGGACGTCACCGACGCACGCAAGATCTGGTGCTTCGGCCCTGACACCAACGGCGCCAATCTCCTCGTCGACCAGACCAAGGCCGTCCAGTACCTCAACGAAATCAAGGACTCCGTCGTCTCCGGTTTCCAGTGGGCCACCAAGGAAGGTCCCGTCGCTGAGGAGCCCATGCGCTCCGTCCGCTTCAACATCATGGACGTCACTCTGCACGCCGACGCCATCCATCGCGGCGGTGGACAAATCATCCCGACCGCCCGTCGCGCACTCTACGCCGCAGCGCTCCTCGCCGAGCCCTCGCTGCTCGAGCCCGTCTACCTTGTTGAGATCCAGGTCCCCGAGCAAGCCATGGGCGGCATCTACGGCGTGCTCACCCGCAAGCGCGGCCACGTCTTCGAGGAGGCCCAGCGTCCCGGCACCCCGCTGTTCAACGTCAAGGCGTACCTCCCCGTCAAGGAGTCGTTCGGATTCACCGCCGACCTGCGCGCCGCCACCAGTGGCCAGGCGTTCCCGCAGTCCGTGTTCGATCATTGGCAGGTGCTGCCGGGTGGATCGCCGCTCGACCGGACGACGCTGCCGGGTCAGGTTGTGGAGGAGATGCGCAAGAGGAAGGGAATCAAGGTCGAAGTTCCGGGTGTCGAGAACGTAAGTTATCCCACGTCATCCATGCCTCATGAAACCACCACTAACCATCATCGCAGTACTACGACAAGTTGTAAACGCTTTCCAACGATGCATATCCACTTTCTTTGTTATCAAACAAACCAAATACACGCATCCCAAAATCATCGTGATGAGACGCTTGTCGTGAGGAGTCGGCCGGATGAAATCAAAACGCCGTGGTCGGTGGTGGGTGAGGGGTAGATTGGGAGGGATGGATGGACCGACGACGAATGCATGCTGATGGTCGACGTATCTCTCTTTATGGTAGACCGGACGTATCTCCTTGCTGTTCTGTTTTGATAGCCGAATTACATCGTTTGCAATCATTGCAGGCTCTCGTCTGTCTGGTCCATGTGATGATATATGTGTAGCATCTTGTCCTGCATCGTGATATCCTAGAGCCAGAGAGCATCAAGATGTTCTGCACATCTGATCGTATCGCCACCTCCGCCGCCCCTCTTAGTCATCCAGACATCACCCTACCTCCCAGCACATGCACTGATGCACTTGCTGCGCTGTTATGCTCAACTCCACCAAAACGCTGGCCGCAAGTCCTGTTTACAACATTTCACTGCAAGTTTTTGATCATTGTCCCGAGAGTCAACATTGTGGGCGCGATAGAAGAAAATATTCGTTGGAGTACCGCGACGATAGCCAAGGCACCTTCGAGCAGAGGATTCATCTTGGACTCTTTTCCCTGTCCTCCCCAGCAGGATGCTCTTGTCATTACCAAAGATGTCCGAGATTTGGCCCGAAGGCTTTCATATGCCAATCCAGACCTGCATGGGCTCCTCATGTGTAAAGGTGTCCTCAAGACAGAGGACCCAATCACCAAGGCTTCTCTCTTGTTCACGTTCGTTTTCAAACTGCCCGAGAGCTACACAGATGTGCGCAGTCTCCGGAGTCTCTTGACAGATGCCAGTCCCAACCATTCTCTCTCTGCCAGATTCGAGGTTGCGAGCCAGATCGCTAGGTCCGTATGCAATGTCCGCAGCTTTGGTTTCGTTCACAAAAACCTTTCTCCCGAGACGATTCTCGTACTGGGCAACCAGAACACCTCAATAGGGGCAGCGTACCTTGTAGGGTTCGACCGGTTTCGAACAACGCAAGGCAATACAGCACGGTTAGGGGATTCAAACTGGGAGCGGAACTTGTACCGTCATCCACGGCGACAAGGTGCAAGCCCGGAAGATATCTATATCATGCAGCATGACATCTACAGTCTGGGCATCTGCTTGCTGGAGCTTGGCTTGTGGCAGTCATTCGTGGAATATCGCGCTCTCGATGGGCTACCCCTCCGCTCGGCGGCACTGAGACTCCAAGATGGGACACCAGAAATGCAGTATCCGACTGCGCTGAAAGATCACCTCGTGGCGCTCGCACGTACAGCTCTTCCGCAGCGCATGGGTACAAAGTACACCGAGGTGGTTCAAACCTGTCTGACTTGTTTGGATCGCGAGAACGTAGACTTTGGCGATGAGCGTGAGTTTCAAGATGCGGACGGTATCCTTGTTGGGGTCAGATATATCGAAAAGGTTTGACGCCCTCATAAAATCCTCGAGGAACTCGTCTGACACAATCCAGGTTTTGATGCAATTGAGTCTCATCTCGGTCTAGCTTATGAAAGCTACAATTCATCACGATCGAGCGATAGACTGAAAGAATGACACGCTGAAAACAACCGATGGGCAACAGAATGCCAGGGCGAACAAAACAACATTTGCATTTTCATATGTTCAGTTTCATACTGAGGAAGATTAGAGAACAACGCTTTCGAATGACGACAGACTAGACTCGTAATCCAAATAGTTATTGTGATCATTCGGAAGGTAACATTAGTAGCACCTAGCACCTTGATCACTAAAGCTTTAACGTGCATTTTTGATCACGTTGGAGCTTTCAGCTATGGTAAACGAATATCGCCCTTAACCTAGACGACGAAGGAGGCGACTGAATGAGTGAAGCAGAAGTGCAGGACATGTATGTAAAAAGAAAAAAATTGTCAACCCACGGCGGGATTCGAACCCGCAGCCTTGAGATTCCTTGTTATAAGAGTCTCACGCGCTAACCAATTGTGCCACGCAGGCGAATTGAGATGGAAGAAAATCATAGGAAACAAATTTGAGGAAGTTCGGTATTAACTATCCGTATTTCCGTAACTAAGTTATCCATATATTTTTGTATCTAGTTTCACGTGACCATTGACGTGGTGGCACCAGCCTCAATTTGTGGCGCAACTTTTCACCTCAACCAGCACCGAAATGAGGATGATCCGCTGTTTGTTGAACTTCGATTATGGTAAAGAACGCGTCTTGAAGTCTAATTGTTGAACTTTCTAGCTGCTGCTACACTTACAAAACCTGCCTAGCGATTTACCGAAACCAAGCCACAATTCATTGGACCGGTGTGTTCCCGTACCGACTACATCGCATCGACCTATTATCACATCACTCCCATGTTTGCTGGGCAGCTCCAGTGATCTTTTGCCCCCCCATCCAGAGTTCCGATCGGGCGAAGAGTGCTTTAATTCGAGGGTACGGAAGAGAAGTCATCATAATGCGTGTTGAAGAGGAGAACACTGCTACGCTTAAGAAGTGGATCATTAAGCGTTTAGAGGATATGTACGAGCCATGTCTCCTTGCAGCCGACTATCGACTGATTTGTTCTAGATCTGATGCCGACTCCGATGTCCTTGCAGACTATGTTCTGGCTCTGGTCAAGTCCGAAGAACCAGATGATCAAGTCAGACAGAATTGTTTGGAGAACCTCGAAGATTTCCTACACGATCGTGAGTGCTCACATCCGTTCGTCTAACTATCGGATTCCCTAATACCTCCTAGACACCGCAACGTTCGTGAACGATGTTCTCTCCGCGATTCGCACTCAATCATACAATCCCGAAGCCCAACCTCCCTCGACTCTCTCCGCATCTGCCGCTGAATTCAACCCCCCCGCTGGCCCCTCGGGTGTTCAAAACCGCCCCGCCTCCGACCCCTTCCAAAACGGTCACAAACTTCCTGACTCTCGTAAACGCGCGTTTGGCGACCGCGAAGGCAGCATACCCCGCGATGGCCGAGATCCACATTACCACCGCAATGGCGACCGCAATATCAAGCAGCTCCGGCGAGGTGGCTTCCGTGGCAATCTCGCCGCTGGAGGCGATGGACGTGGGCGATTTAGCAATCAACGTGGGCAAATCGGTCATTTAGGAAATCCAGCGATGCAAGGAATGCCGCCCGGTATGCAGCTGCCGGGAATGCCGTTGTTGCCTACTCCGCCAGGCTTTCCGCAGTTTGATCCCAACAACCCGCTTTCGGCGATGATGGCGATGCAGGCGTTGACGTTTGCTGGTATGCAACAACAGGGTGCACCCAACCCATTGGGCCAGGGGCAATTTGGTCAACTGGCACAAATACAGAAAAAGGGGAGGTGTAGGGAGTTCGACCAGAAAGGGTTTTGCACGTTAGGAAGCTCATGTTCGTATGAGCACGTTGACAAGGGAGCTGATGGTAAGCATCCAGTTCTTCCTACAATGCGTTGTACTAATCAGTTGATATAGAGTATGATCCAACAAACGCATCTATAGTGACTAACACTCACCGCCCGAACGGCACTACCTCAACTCGGGGTCAGCATGGTGGAAGAGGTCGAGGGCGAGGCGATAAGCAAGGACGAGGACGTGCTCCTTTCTCCTCCGTTGGCCCCAATTATGATCAAACCGTCACGACTATTGTCGTTGAGCAAATCCCTGAAGAGAAATTCACCGAAGAGGCCGTCCGGTCATTCTTCTCTGAATATGGCGCGGTGGAATCCATCGACATGCAACCTTACAAGCGCCTCGCACTTGTCAAGTTCTCCGATTTCGCCTCCGCTCTCCAAGCATATCAATCTCCCAAAAGCGTCTTCGATAACCGCTTCGTGAAAGTATATTGGTACAAACCTGATGACGTTGGAATCAATGGAACGAAGGACAGCCGTCGAAGTTACCCGGATGAAATGGTAATCGACGCTACCGACATCGCCGAGAAACAAGCTGAGGCGCAGAGAGCACATGAAGAGAAGTTGAAGAAACTAGAAGAGGCGAAAGTACAGCGTGAGGAGCTCGACCGGAAACTCCGTGCCCAGGAAGAAGAACGAAAGAAGCTCCTCGCAAAACTAGAAGCGAAGGCTGCTGCTACAGGAACTCCCGCACCAGAAGGCAGCACAGAGAAGAAAGCTGATGCGTCCACCGATGGCGTTGAGGATATGCCCAGGGTTACAAATACTGAGACCGAGGCTCTCCGTGCGAAACTTAAGGAACTTGAGGCCGAAGCTACAAGCATGGGCATCGACCCCGAGTTGTCTATGAGTAGCCCATTCGGCTTCGGTCGCGGGGGCCCCTCATTTAGAGGGCGTGGGCCACGAGGTGGCGGCGGTTATGCTCCGCGAGGCAGGGGTTACGACCCATACCGCGGCAATTGGAGAGGCGCAGGACGAGGATATGCGGCGCCGACATACGGAGCGCCCCGCGGAGGGGTTCGACGACTTGACAATCGAACTAGAAAAGTTGCTGTCGCTGGAGTGGAATATGGAACCGAGGGGGATGAGGCTCTGCGATCGTATTTGTTCAACAATTACGAGGTGGACAGCATCGAGAAACATCCAGAGAAGGCGGATGCACAAGTTGTGACGTTCAAGGAGAGATATGTTGCGGAACAGGTACAGTCCACCCCTCTTTTCCCATCCGATCCACGCCATTCAAACTTACCTCCTTACAGTTCATCGCTGCCGGGTCCACGACTTCCATTACCAGTCTCGGTAAGCTGGATCTCTCCTGGGTCCAACAAACCTTCCCACCTCCCACTTCTGCGCCACAAAGTACAGCCGATTCCGGTCTTCCTCGATCCGGTGCCAACCAGGTCTCCGAGACTACGAACGGGGATTCTGGGAAGGACAAGGAGTTGGATATGCCAGACTTGGAGTCTGCAGCCGCTGCGGTGGATGCGGTGGTAGGGAGATCAGAGGAATATGATCCAGATATCGCGGATGATACGGATCGGTGGATGTCGTAGTCGAAAGGCTAAAGGAATGGCTATCGAAAGGAGCATAGAGGTGAGTGTAGCATTGCATTGTGGCAATAAGCGCGGCTTGCCCATGCATCGACTGTACATTAGCATTGGGACGAGCATCAGAATTGACGAAATAATAGCGGGCCATACGCTTGAATACTTCGATTTCCTATACCCTGCCAGTCCATTTCCTAACGATGCTTCCACCAACCCATTTACGGCCCATGCGTATCAAAAGCCAATGTGCCGCTTTAGGTAATCCTACCCATAGTTGGCCTTCGGTATATGGGCTTGTACCGTCTCGCACAGTAGTTCAGTGGATCGTTGTTCTCTCGAGGAATGAAATCAATCCAAAGCACAAATCCTACTCCCTTCCACGCTTCAGTTAAGTCCATTCCTTTACCCCCTCTACAAAAGGTATAGCCATCCTACCAATTCACGCATTATCGTAGTACCTGTTTTTACTCCTAACTACAAAAAGACATAACTAACTAGCTATTCTACTACTAATTCGTGCATTATCGGAGTACATGCTTTTGCTCCCTCTGCAATAAATCATAAGTGCTGGATATTATATCGATGAAAAATCGCTATCTTATCTCCATTATATTTTTCTACTGTTACCTGTTTTTATAATGCTCTTTACGGAATGATCGTCGTTACGTGGTCTCTGCAGCCGACACTTCCCTCATCCAAACTTTCAATATTCATAGGCCGACTGTATACAGCACGGTGTACGTAGTACATGTGTTGAGTCAAAATGGTCTAGACGTCGTTACCCATTACGGTAACACGTTGTAAACGGAAGGAGGAAGAAGAAACTCGATAGTATAAGGAGATGCTCCTTCATCTATAAAAGAGAGATGGATCTCACTCTCCGAGGTGAAAACAATCACTAAAACTTACCTTCCCTACGATCATATCTTCATGGCTCACACTTGACAAAGCACCAGTGCTACTTGACTTCGTTCATCACTATTGCTTACTTCAACCGAATCTTAAACATCCCATCGGCTTCACCTCGCCTATCAAGTGCAAAATCACCCTTACATCATGAAATACCTCGCTTTCGCTTTCCTCATTATCGGCTCTCAAGCGGCGGCACTTCCTAATAAGGACCAGTTGGCCCCGTATGCAACCTCTCAAACGCGTAGCAAGGAAGTCTGGAACTGATGCATTGTTAGGTGGGAATTGGAGTCGCGTCAGGCGACCTTCGATTGTACCAACAAGCCCCCTGGCCTCTACACACACACCAGCGACTGTAACAAGTTTTTTCGATGTCTGACTCCGACCGCGCCGGCTAGAGAATTGGCGTGTCCCCAGGGCATGATATTCTCTTGTGCCGAAGTAGCATGTGTCCCGGGGCTACCTGTATTTCAGTGCCAACTTCATGTAACGGGGCAAGGGGTCTGCAATCGGCCGCTCGTCGACCCTCTCCCCTCCCTCTTCCCCCTTCCCCCCATTCCCCCC